TTTTTTTGCTCATGTTTATCATATGTAAAAGTAAAAAAAGGATGGTTAAAATAGTTTAATTGATGATTTGGAAGACTTTTTCTGTCAAAGATTATAGACGAACCGGTTAACCGCTGTTTTTTAGTGGTAACCGCGATATTAATCAAAACCGGCGGTTTACCGCGGTAAATCTCGGATCATTTTTTGCGGTAAACCGCGGTATTTATCCGTTCTGCGGTAATGGGAGCTGGTAACCGGATCGGTAAAACCGCGGTTAACCGCCGATTTTCATGCGGTTTTTACTACATGGGAATATAACAATTTACTTTTATCAAACATTTAATAAAACTAATATACAAAAAGCTAATAATTATAAAACAAAAATATCGAATTGAATACAAAACAATAAAAGTCAATCAAGAATGTCTTTGTATCATAAGAAGAGTGAAAGAACAATTGCTGTTTCTTTTTCCAACCATATAGTGTCAATCGATAAATTTGACAGAAATAGATGTCACGCACACATGATCAAAATAGTCTCGAAAGAAAGTAAAGTGAGTAAAATAGAATATAAACGCTCTTTTGACAGCTATCTGAATACGTTCTATTAGGGGTAGCAATAGCTTTTTATTGCTACCCCTAAATTTCCGTAGGGGCCGCAATTGCAGCCCCTAGCCTTGCTGGCGTGCCGCCTATGCTTACAGAAGAATATTTGTAGTGTAATTACACTCTATCAGTAAAAGTAATATGAACAAACAGACGGTTTGATTCCAGAAAGAATACAGTCAAACATATGGACTTTTTACATTTAAACTTTCTTACCGTAAAAAATATGTTCAAGAAGCATAGTTTTATGAAATTATATTTCTATTATTTGATTTCTCGACTTTTCATCGAGAAAAACTTTTGCATGATGTAGACATTAAATGAAAACCAATTCAGACAACTACTCATATAATTCGTATTTCATGGAAAAGTTATCTAAGCAAGAACTCGAGTGTCGTTCCATCATTTTTTACAATATACTACGAACAATTTTAGAGTATGCAACGATTATTTCTGAGAACCAACTTCGAAGACACTGCTGCAAAAGAAAGCATCTTTTAATAATATTCAAATCTAGCAACAAAACAAGATAAATGAATATATGTTTTGATATGAGATCATTAAAATGATTCTTTAGTATTTAACTAATCATTTCGAACCTGAAGTTTCCTTATGTGTTGAAATCGATAGATAACTATTTATTTATAATCGATTTGGCATTTTAACGAGGAGAAAGCTTTCAAATGGCACACTTCATTTGTTCGTATGTTTTGCCTATACTTCTGATATCATCTAAGTAGTGTAAGTTCCATAGGATTCTAACTCATTTCTAGTTTTTCCTGACATTGTGAATTTTTTGTGGATTCATTCAGCAATACTTTGGTCTCTAAAAACAAATAATATTATGCAGCTTTCAATCAAAGTATCGCACACATGAAATTATTTATTAGACACTTTTATAAAGAGAATTTTCTTAGATTTATTTTTTACGAAGTAATAAAATATAGAGTAGCCAGTATAATTGTATGCTAGATTGTACTTTGAGATTTTGACATATTAGCAATCGAATATTTAAAACGAGATACATTTTATTTTTTTCTTATGTTTAATAAATACAATATTTACATCAAAATAAAATCCTGGTTCAAAATATATTCATTTTGTATAATTTAATAATTTTTTCAATTCATTTTTTTCTTTTCTCAACAATGTTTTATGTTTGCCATCACTCTCATTAAGAATCATTGAATTACCAAAATCGCACAACATGATTCGTTTGTGTTGATGATTGTCATAATTAATCAGAAAATTTGCGGACCGTATGTCATTATGCAAAACATTTTGTTTGTGTAATTGATCTAATGTGTTTAAAGCCATCGCTTTCTCGTCGTTGGAATATTGCTTGAAATCTTTGCTTACTCCACTAATTTCATAACATACAATATAGAACCAATTTAATTTTTTTAAAAATCCGGATACTATTCTATTTGGCACATAAGTACCTTGCAATATTTTCAAGTGATTATACAATTTCTTTTCATTGTTTAGTTGCATCATCATACTTGTATTTTTAGTTGTGTCGCATATTTTTGTGGCATATGCTGTATTATTGTATAAACATTTAAAGACACAACCATTTTGGCCGTAGCCTATCGCTTCGTTCATTAATTTTATTTGTTTTGATTTTGACGATTGGTACTGTTCGGATCTTTTCTTTTTTCTTTTTGGTGAATATACATCGTCATTATCATTATCTTCTTCACTTTCATGATCTTCTTCGTCACCTTTTATTTCATCTTGATCCGAATCGTACGTTTTATCGTCGTTTACCGATGTATTTGGGCTGCATAAATGATCTTCAATCGATAGATGTATAATGTAAAATAATGCCCGATACACTGATAGATCAACGTCTGTTGATTTTATTGCCGTTGAAATATGTAATAACATTTTTTCACGTTTCATGAAATAAAAACTTTCGTAATTCGTTAAAATACCATATTTTAAGTTATTAATTCGCATGTATCCAAATATTTGTTCTACTGGAAGTCTAACTTGTGGACCAGAAATACGATAATCAGCAGCTAAGTTGTCTGGTGCTGTCAAAGACCAGATTATTTTGACTTCAATGACAAGTTTTACGATGTCGTTATGGAAGAAAGCGAAATCTGGTTGTCCTATAGAAAAAAAAGAGAATCGAATATAACTAAAATTAAAGCAATGATTTATAACTTGAACGATTGCATTAGCAGTCATCTACGAAATCTGTTTTCAAGTGTAGGATACATAGTAGGTAGATATGCACCAAATAGAATTCCAGTGAAATCCAAATCCAACTCTTGGGTGAGATTTCACTGAATTTTTTTATTCTGCGTATTCTAAAAGTGAAACCAATGAATTTTATGGAGAAGAGAAAGCTCATTGATTTCAATGAAGTTTGACTTCAAATAAAAAGCTAAATATAACTTCGAATTTATTTCTAATTTCGCAAATGTATTATCCTTTGTCTGTTTTAAAAATGCATTTTTCAATCGAACTGATTGAGACATTGACTAACCGGTTAGTGTGAAAGAGGATATTTCAAATTCGAAATTCTTGTGCATATGACTGAACATTCTTGAAAAGTTTGATCTCCCGCAGCTTCTATCTATTGGATTAACATTAAGGCTATTTAAAAAAAACTAATATGAGCCCTTAATCAGTATAAAAATCATCATTGGCCTTTTTGCCTTATAGATGACCCGAAATAATGCTTTCGCTCGTTGTTGATGATATGATAGATGAGTCTTTTTTGACAAAGCACTTAATACATTTATGAGTACTCTCACAGAAATGTTTCTTTTTAAGATGGCTATTTCAAATTTTTACAGTTCGACCATAACTGCTAACTTCTTCAATGAAAAGGAAAAATTACTGAAATTGATGTACACTTACCAATAACACCATCTTCATTTGACGAACATAGTGTAAAGACAGAATTTATTTCTTTTTTAAGAAGATATTGAGATAATGGTTTAAAAGCATATTCATTTATAGCCATTTTCACATGTGTTTCATTTTTTATTTTTGATCGTAGTTCTGGTGATTCGATTAAGTATTCTAAAGTTAAATCATCGTTTTGTATTTGAAAATTTTTCAATTCATTCTCAAAAGTATCCCAAAGTACAACTTCCGGATATCTACAATAGTAGAACAAAAATAGTATTATTATTATTCGTTTCATCCGTAAAACTAACCCAGAAGATACACTTTTTGTTGATGAATTTGACCTATTTGCACCATAGATAAGCTTGGGCAAAGATGTGTTAAAAAATTCCATTGGGGTTTTATTTATAATCCTAAATATATACATTAAACAACTTCTAGTTATATTTATATTTACGATCAAAAAATTGCTATTTTACATACATATATGGACGGGCCATACTTGCTACTTTGGACGAGTCTTTCGATTGAACAGACATGATTCATAGATAATATGGGGGATACGAAATATATGTAAAAATCTATAATTATATAATTTAACGAAAAATAAATGAGTGCAATATAAATAAGTCAAATAATACACGATATAGTGTCTCAGATGAACACAGACAAGATTTTCTATCGTTACGGGCGGTAAGACACGACAAATATCGAAATCGCGTCTTTTCTGTGCTCATCACTGTATTGTTTCAGAATAAAGGCGTTTCTTTCGGCCTATCAATAACCCAGGTCAATGATTCCGGAGGACGGATACTGTAGGAACCGGCCGGAAAGATGCGGAAAAATCACCGTATCTGGCCGGAAAGCACTGGAAACTGGAAGCAGTATTCCAGTTGGAAGTTACCGGATTTTTTTCCTGTGGATTCCGGTCAGTTTCCTGTGTTTTCCGGTCAGTTTTCTGTGTTTTACATCTGGAAGTTGATCGGAATCTACAGGAAGAAAATCCGGTAACTTCCAACTGGAATACTGCTTCCACTTTCCAGCGCTTTTCTGTGCTTTCCGGCCGTTTCCCGCCGTACGTCCACGACCTGGGAAGAGCTGCACTTCTCATTATCGACATCTATAGATAAAAATCGAGCAATTAAAAAACAAAACAGAATTCTAATTTATCCGAAATTAGTATAAGGCCCCAATAGATTGATTGTCATTTTTTGTATTCAATTCAATGTACCAATGCTAATATTAAGAAGAAAAAAGGTGAAGTGAAGTGACCACAAGTTGATGGGTCATGTGAAGTCAACTATAAATATGATTAAAAAAAACAATGCACGACTTCTTACGTAAAGAAGCTAGTACATAGAAGTAAATCTTGATGAAACCGAATGTGATTCGAAGCAGAAAAAAAATTTCTATTGCATTATTTAATTCTTGGGAGGAAGAAATTCGTACGATTTGTTTTACACAGTATAGTCTGAGAATTGTTCTATCTTCTAGTGTTAGTTTTCGATTTGTGTGCTATGCGCATGATTATTTGTACTAATGAATAATACATCTCTAGATAATAAATATATATCATCTCTTCTCATTCTCAGACAATGATAAATAGTATTTAAATATTTTATTTATATATATTTGTAGTCACTATGAAAACAACGTTCGGATCACGATTGTTTTCTGTTTTAACTCTAAAATTTAATGCCCATCTTGTCTAGATCTAAATATATCACACAAAATTTATCTCATAAATTAATACAATCAGTTTATAGATCTTGTGCATGGAAGAAAAATGTATATTCTTCATTGATGTCAGTGAAAAAAGAAAGAAATTTATAAATAAATAACGAATTCCTTTTTGCCATAGTATTATCAATAAATTAGATGCACGTTTTAAAACAGATTTTAGAGTGTTTGTTTTTCAGTAGTCAATCTCTTATATTCTACCATGTAATTCAACACATAAAATCAGTTGATTAGAATTAGAATTCTTCAAATAAGATCAGTAAACTGATATTTTATTAATTTTGTTATGTTGATATTTGATGAAGAAAATCATTTATAGCTAAACAATTTGTAATATAAAATATAAAGTATTAATAAAAACCAATTGTCATAGCTTCAAAATTTGATAATAAAATTCAATTTCATATGATTAATTCAGATAAACATACATTCGAGAATATGAATTATTTATGCGACAACATTGAATACCACATATGCATATTTTCAAATGATAATGCGTAAGAGAAGAGAAAGATTTCTAAAGTATATACGTTTTCTTACATGCTAACACAAATAATAGCTATGAGATTCTTGATTATGACTAACATTACTGTATCAATGAATTTGTTTGACTTTATAGCTACTAGGAATAAAACAAAATTCTTTTACTATTCTTCAGTTATAATTCTCTTAGAAAATTTTTATCTAATAAATAGTTGAGGATTTTTCAAGTAAAATTGTTGCAAATTACAATATTCAAATTTATGTATCGCTTTATTTTTCTCTAAATAATCTATATAAAATAAACTGAGAATAAATAAAACACTTTTAATTTTAATGAAATCTCATCAGATTAAATACTTATTTTCCCCGAACAGTATTATAACCATTATGAACAAAATACAGTAAATATAAATTTTTATGATGCAACACTTGATAATTAAATAACGCGAAGAAATATGGTTTGTACTTAGCAGAGCTCCGCGAGACGGGATGGGATCGCATCTTTTTTTCTTTGTTTTTTTAATATATATTTTATTGTTCCCTATAGGGCTAACAAAAATTACAGTCACAGTTCTTTTTCACAATATAGAAGAGAGAGATAGGTTCACGTATTACAACAATACAAGAGGAAAATATTTTAGAATAAAATGTTCAAGAAGAGAAGAGGTGTTTTTGAAAAGACAATATTGTCCACTGTGTGCATTCTTGAATGAGAGAAAGTCAAGATATATTTGGCTTGCTCGTTTGTAAAGCCTATTTCCGAATTTACTATTTTTCCTTAGTCCCAAGCTCTTATAGTATGTTTTTGAAGGATCAGTTGCAATTAAGAATGCGGTCCATGTTTGTCTATAAGACTCAGCTTCAGGTGATCCATCCAGATGCTTTTGAAAACGTATCCAATATTTGTAAACTTGATCTCCTAATGATTATTCTCTACTTAAGCATAATTAAAGATATTTAAAGGTTATAACCTTTTTAGTTAGTTGTCTGTCTAAAATATCGTATAGATAAATTAATAATCCGATACAAGTTCATATTTTGAAGCCAAATGAGTTATATTGTAATTGTACAGTTAATAAAATTGAGAAGGGACGGAAATTATATTTTATTATTGAAAACAAAAAACATATCTTTCAGCCATCATACGAACAATAAATTCAATTATATATGATAAAATAGCATGTTCTTGCCATTGATACAGCTATATGTGAAACAGTTCTAAAATTTACTTTTTTTCAACTTATTGGTGATAAATAGGATGAAGCCATTTTATTAAAAGTAAAAGTTAGAATCGATAAAAAGGAAGTTTAAGCTTCTAGCATAATTTGAATTCATTTTTTGTCAAGTGCATTAAGTATAGCCACGCCAAAATCATGAGCAGATGCCGGATTGGCTCCAAGAATAACTAAAAAACACTGAAAATTATAAAAACAAAGAAAAAAAAGGAAGTTTAACAAACGTTGTCCATCAACGGTAACGTAAGCTCCCCATGGTTTATCATTTTTTTCATAGTGCGCTCCAAGTTCTTTAAGACGGGTCTCGACAAGAAAAGGAATAGCATCAGTTAATTTTATTTGTTCTTCTTCTTCATTGCTAAATGATGTTGCTTTTCGTCCAGAAAATATTGATTTACCATTTTCATCTTGTACATTAACTAGAAAATCAAAATATTTTTAATTTCAAGCTTTTCTATACAATAAATTGCCTAACCTAGAGCAGCCGGTCCATGACAAACAGCTGAAACAATTTTCCCTTGTTTCCAAAACGCTTCTGCTAATTTAACATTTGTTTTATCTTCAGATAAATCAAAACAAGGTCCGTGACCGCCAACATAAACCAATGCTACATAATCATTGACATCAATATCAGTCAATTTTTTTGTATTTTCATAACCTTGTTTAGCTTTATTATCGGATAAAAATTGTTTACATTCAGCATCATCTTTAAAGTTTTCTACAGATGAAGGATCTAACGGAGCTTTTCCTCCATTTGGACTTGCCCATTCAATTGTAAAATGATTTTCTAATACATAATATGGATGAGCAGCCTACAAATATCACTTAGATTATTATATACATATATATCAAATATTATAATATCTACTTCTGGTAAATACCATCCTGTTGGATGTCCATTTGGAAATGTACCATGAGATGTCAATACAAAGAGAATCTTTTTTTTTGTCGCCATTTATTTATAATCAATAGTGTGCTTTCGTTTGTTGTTACTTTCTATTACAAAATAGTGACAAAGCAAATTTTTTCTTCGTTACTTTCTTTTGAAATTTGTTTTTCTCTGTCACAAAGATTTAGTTTGTCGTATCAGATAACAAACGTCAAAATAAATCGAGTAGCCCTGGACGACCTTGCATAAAAGAACATGAGTAGAATTTGTTTTTCTGTGTCGCAAAGATTCAGTTTGTCGTATCAGATGACAAACGACAAAATAAATCGAGTAGCCCTGGACGACCTTGCATAAAGAACATGAGTAGAATTTGCTCGTTCGTATTTTTGTTTTTCTTTTGTTGTTGCACATTATTCGTCTGTTTAAAAAACTGATTTAAAAAAAAGAGTTGCTACCTAGATAAAAACCAAAATAAAATTGTTTTCATGGTATATGGAGTTGAGCATCGACAAAAAGTTCACAAATATTACAAAAAAAATATAAAAAATTCCTCAAAGTTGGACAGCAAATTCCTTAAAGTTTATTAGAAAATTTTCTTTGTTTTGTTGTATTCTTTATGAAAAATAGTTCACATGCCTCAGAATTGTTCACTAGTATTTTTATTTCATAATGATAAACAACAATGTGGACTTATTGAGTGATCTTCATCCATTGTATTACAAAAAAACAGCAATGATTTTTCTCGTTTATCAAAAATACGACATCGATTAATATTTACTGGAAGGATTATTACTAATAATATTATAATGATTTTCGTTGATTCATATGAAAATTGCGTTTTTACCTCTGAAATCATACATACAATAATCAGGGGCGGCGGAGCGTCATTAAGCTAGGTGAGGCTCATCATATTTTTTTGCTACCGTGGAATTTTATGAAACATCAAATAGTAAATAAGTCTTCTTTTTATTGAACTTCAGTAAAAATAAAAATGGTCAGTATAAAAAAAGAAGATTGGAAAATACCGAAAACTAGTTTTCTTTGCTTCTACTCTGATGCAAGAACAAGAAAATAGCAATATTCAGTACAAAAGCAAGTGAGGCTGAGTCTCATATTGCGAAATCTAGGTGAGGCTGAGCCTCATCTACTGAAAACTAGGTGAGGCTCAAGCCTCACCTGTCTCAATGGCTCCGCCGCCACTGACAATAATAAAATAGGTAAGTGCAGCGATGCCTCTATTACTGTTACAGTAATTATTTTCAAATGAATTGGTTAGAAGAGATAATATGCGAGATTTGCGACTGAGTAAATTTGAGTGAATTTTATGCATGACAGGAAGGTGGACAAGTAAGATCTTGTCAATCAATTCTTATTTCTACCATCTAAACAGGTTCAGTCGAGTAAGTACTTTGTAAATCAAATTCTTTTTAGCTCGAGTTTTGGTTTTTGTTAGAAACTTCCAGTTCTTGCCTGTCACTTTTCTATGTTATTTCAGGAGATGTTTGCCATCAACGCCTCGCCTTATTTGACTATTGTTATCAATACGTTCATATTTTGACAAGCAAAAGTATCTCAGATGATCGTTTCTTACTATACTTCTGTTTTTTGCGAAACTATTGCTGCTCAAACAAAAGTCTTGATGATTCTTTGTCTTATAAAATAATTTTCGCAGTTCAGTTGCTTCAACTTGTTTGATTTGCTTAATCATTTCAAGATTAAAATAATTGTAAATAACTAAAAGTTACTATTCTCAGTTACGACCATGGAATCTTTTTCTACATGATAAAAAAATGAATTGATATTTATAAGAATGTAAAATTGTATTATTCTCAAATTCTCAGATTCGATCGTTTGATAAACATTTTCAAATAGAATCCAAAAATGTGCTCCTTAGTACAGTTGACAGATCGACATGAGAACAAAACTTGTGAGTCAATTCACAATCGAAAATCTCGCAGCCAAAACCGAAATGCTGTACAAGAGTGCATCATCGGAACTTCGATTGAACGTGCCAAATCCTATTTATATGGCTTGAAAAATATATTTTGATTACGAATAAGTACGCTTTCAAAATTGTAGTGACCGTAATATAATGATTGTTGGTGATTTCATCTGTTGAAACAGTTCATTAGATCGGAACGTATAAGTTAACTGTGCTACTACATAATCAAAAATTATTATGAAACACGTCCTTGACATAGCTATTTTAACTTTGTTTTTTTTCAAAGTAGAAAGCCTCCTGTTTATTATTTCAACATTAACCTTTGACGCATAGCCGCGGTATCTATCATATTGAATCCAAGATCCCATCTAAAAAGCATTAATCTCTAAATGTTTGGCAAATAGCTATTTAATTTATTCTTGATAGGTTCGATATCGATTCAAAGTGTTTAGTAAATGTTGTGAAAACATTTAATTTCTTTTGTTAACCTATAGCTAAATAATCTGCATAAATAACAAGTAACACTCGTTGCTTAGACTCGCTTGACTGTCGACTGTATGTTGTGCTCTTTCGATATAATTTACTGCTTTCCAAGCTTCAACAACACTACTCTTCAGTATTTGAAAAAGAATGGATATGATTTTAGACCCTGACATCAAAACTGATGCTAGATTACTGCATCTTACACACATTTTCACTCATCTTTCTGTCGTGAATTCTTTTGATAACACTGTGACTTAAGGACCAACAGGTCTCTAAAATTGTTACAATGTATACAATATCATGCTAATACTAATCGTATAGTGCACACAAGCAGGGCTGCCAATTGCATAGATAGAGGAATAGTAATCTTACGCAGCTGAAATCCCTCATCTATCAAGAATGATACCACTTAAGATGTTTCGATGTGCATCACAAGAGAAAGGACGTATAACTTGCCACTTCACAAAGCCACATCCAGCGTTTTTCAACTTAGGAATGAATCATAGAAAATCTGTTTGGTGAATAGTTAGCTATCGGGTGTGGGTGTGGGTGTCGGTACGGGAGAAGAGAAAATACAGCCACATCAAAATTTTATTAAAAATAAATCACGTCAGTCAAACCAAATGCAATTGGTTCATCAAAACATCAGATTTTATTAATTGCCTTTATATTATAGAGAATTGAAAAGAAGCAATGAAGCCAAAACGTTTCTTTGAAAATAGCATTAAAGCAATTAGTATTTTTTCTTTCATACAGAATGAATTTATAGAGAACAATAAGAGTCAAAATCCTTGCTGATTGCACGCATTTTTTCACATTGATAAGTAAACAAGTAAAACATTTCAATGCCACAAAAGCAACCAATTTTCAGTTTATGTTCTTGTGAAGAATAGCAACTGCTAGATTATTGATAAACATAGCAAGATCAAGATGTTCTTAAGATTGTAAAGAGCGGTTAATAATACTATTGACAATATCAGTATTCCCTCATGAGAGTAAAATGCAGATTTCATTTTATCTTCCTATTGAAATAGTTTGCTCCATTTTCCAAACAAACAATCAAATATTGATATTTCAAAAACCATTGATAACTTTATATTTGCTTTTCTTTCTTTCTTTCTTTTTTTTTTGATGTAAATAACTACCTTAAAGGCAAAATAATATCAAGGGCATGAGCTATAGAATTGACAAGAATAATAAATCACACGAAAGAACTATGTTTTTTTCTTTGGAGTTGATTGTTTGCATGACCTATTCAACATGATCACTACCTGGTATTTTATATTTAGCAATACCGGATTCTTTCATAACACAGATATGTTCTAGATCACGAAAGTATTCATTGTAATCCTGAAAAAGAAAACAATAATATATAGTTTTAGAATCAGAATAAAAAGTTAATGTTCTCTTACAAGTGCATAACCGACAATGAAATGATCGGGAACTTCGAAACCTGAGTAATCTGGTTTAAAGATACATTTTTTATCTTTTCGTCTTTTTGTAAATAACGTTACAACATGAATGGTTTTTGGTTGAAATTTTTCAAGTTCCGTTTTTAATGCAGCCATTGTAACACCTGTATCAATGATATCTTCAATAATAAGTATATGTTTATTGTTTAATGCATTTAAATCGCTTAATCCAATAATTTCAATTTGTTCAGTTGAACGATCATTCACATAACTTCGAACACGAATGAATTCTAAACTCATCGGTAAACTACGGTCATTTCGAAGACTAAAAAATAAAAAAATAAAAAATCAGAAGAGAAAAGCTCAAAGCTGACAAACCGATTTTCATTCTGTATTTTTGAGACAAGATCCGAAAAGAATCGATAACCACCTTTGAGTACACATATACAAACTGAATATATATATATATATAATAGGATTCAATTATTTTTTATATTTTTCTTTAAGAATTTAGTTTTTACTGAGTTGCTCTGGTATATGGATATGTAAATCAGAAAAAATTCGGCTTGCTAATGCTTCAATACGATCTTGAACAAGTCCATATGGAATTAGAACAGATTTTAAATCATCACGATAATGTAATGGTAAACTAAGTGGAAAGAACATTAGAGAAAAAAAAGAAATGCAATGAAAATTATTTTTATGATAAAATATTTACTTGAAAAAATTCAATGGATAACCTTCGAATGAATCCGAAATAATTAGTGGATTTGATTCAATATGATGTTCATCTGAGTTTTTCGACGCCTCTGCCATTTAATTTTACCTATAAAGCAGATCTTATCTATAACGAATAAGAACAATATAACGAAGTCCATAACAAAGTTTTTCTTAGCATTCGAATTTTTTATCACTAATAAACTTGACCGATGATAAACTTACTTTTCTTTCTCCTTGTTCTTTATGCTTGTCTTCGAAGTGGCGTTATGAATACAAGTAGTTAACTTATAATAAATACGCAGTATTTTTGCACGCTCTTTTTCTGTGTATTTTTTTATTATATAAAACATTAGTGGGAGAAGGAAGCTGATTCGTAAGGGAGTATATAGCGCAACGAAAACGAACCCAACAGAACAAGTTCACTCATATACTCACGTAGAACTAAACGATAAGAATAACAACAGCAAAACCAAAAAATCCGATAAGTGCAGTAACATATTGGAAAGGAAAATGTGCGAAAGACAAACAAATATGATCAAGATTACATATACAAAACACACACGCACGTACGCACACAGATATACTGGTTTTATTTGATAGTCTAAAAGGAAAAAAAATAAAGAAAGAAAACGCCTGGTTTTTATTTTACTAAAAAAAACAATTTCTATTTAATTTTCATTAACATCAACCCATCGTTTTATTCGTTTGGGACTTGTTTCCCATAGTGTTGTCTCTAGAATATCATCATCTTCATCTTCAATACCATTATCATTATCATCAGATAATTGGCATGACAATCGTCGTGTTGCTATTGAAACTGGCTGAGAGTCAACTCGTAAAAGTTCTATTTAAAAAAAAGCAAAAGAGCATAGTTTATTTACTCTTTTGTTTGTCTTACCTCGTTTATAATTTAATAACTTTCGTCGAAATTTAGCACGTTCGAGTAATGCATGATTACTACGATAATCGGTTCGAGCACAACCACTCAAGTTTTCTACAACGACAGTAGATAAACTTTCCATGTCACCTTAATTGAAAAGATCGGTTAAAATTAGATTTTATAGGGAAAAAGGACTTACGACTAATTGTAATTATATTTTGACGTTTACGTGGTCGAATATTTTCTTCGGATTCAATATTAAGCCAATCGAGATCACCAAGTGGCATGTCGGGCATCATCATCATATTAAAGAAATCAAATGGATCACTTAGAGGTGGTGGTGGAGCTAAACGTTAAAGAAAGAAAAGGTCCAATAGATGAAAGAAAAGAAAAGGAACAGATAGATACCAGACAGTAGTGGTTGAGGATTTGACACAACAAGTGTTGTGGGTGGAATGGGTTCATCACCGGGTAATTTAACTACTAGTGGAGCTGAAACTTCAACAAGGTTTGTTGCAGTTGATTCATCAATATTAGGCTGCTGCTGCTGTTGTTGTTTGGACGGATATTGAATGTAAGGAATGTCTTCATCTAGTTAAGAAGAAATAAACTAATTACAAAGAAGTTCAATAAAACAAGCATTCTTCTGGAAAAGAGTATATAGACTACATGTGCCGAGGAATTATATAAGAATTAAAAATTTTTCGCTATTCGAAAAAGTATTTATTCAGTTTCTTATATAAAAGAGAGCACATTATTTAATTAGATATTAATCGGATCTATTCGGTATTAAATTCTTTTCTGTAGAATATAAGATATATTATCTCTTTTAACCCTTTAGCTTCGGAGATTGTATTCATATGAATTTTGGATTCAACTCATATTGGCAATTTTTAAATCTTATCCACTTTGTCAATCATAGAGTTCTCTTTCGCTCTTTTATTTCTCCGAGTTTTATTTATAGCATCATTATACGATATCGCTTCAGGTGCATGTCAAGTGGAAAATAGGCTATTATTGATGAATAAGTCTTCGAGAGTACGTGTTTACTCGGTAAATAGTTACAAGCCTAATCAAACCAAATAATAATTCATAGAATTGCGTGCTTATTCTATCACCGAGTTTCACACTGGTGCTTCACGCTTTTACAAAATTAAAAATTGTTTTTAATTCGAAACTGCAGCTGCCTGTGCAAATATTGAATCGAAGCCTATTGCTATTTTCACTGATCTAAACAATTCATGATTTGTAGTCTCATCGAGGTCGCGAACTAAAAAAACCGATATTTCTACATCAATAAGCGCAAAAACTCTTAGGAGCGTATTCACTACTATGATATTATTTACCTTTTTCTTGTTTATAATCATGTACTTTTGTTAAATGCTGTTTCATGCTTGCTTTATTTGAAGTTGTATATTGACAATTTTGTAGCACACACACATACATTGTTGATGCTTGTTGTTTTTCAGTTCGATGTCGTTTAACATGAGCATGATACGTTGACCGCACGCGAAATTTTTCTTCGCAATCTAGAAAATTAAGTCAAGATTTAAGTTGCTTTTTTTATTGAATAAGAAGAAATTTAGTTCATGCTTTACTTACCAACATATGGACATTTCATGATCATATTGGGAAAATGTTTCACTCGATGATTTTTCAATGAATCATTTCTCGTAAATGTTTTCCCACAATTCGGAAATGTGCATACAAATGAATGACTTCCACGCAAATGTGTTGTTCGAACATGGCGATCAAGATTTGATTGAGTATAAAATGTTTCTTTACATGCCTGTTAGTAGAAATAGTGCTCCGATATTAGTTCATGTGGAAATAAAACTAGATTTAGCTACATACCGGATAAGTACATGCAAAATGTTTATCACCCAAATGAGTTAACATATGTTTTTTATACAGTAAACGCTTAGGAAATTCTTGATGACAAATTTGACATGAATTCGATGATCCTGGCGGAGTCTTGGGTTTGATTGATACAGGTGGTGGTGATACTAGTCGAACACGAACTCTTAGAAAGAAAAATAATTATTATTATCAAATTTTTTTATGAAGATTGTCTGTATTTTTGAGGGTTTGCTATTATGAATTGATTTTCTGCTAAGATTTTTGTTGGTAGCTACCGTGAAACTGAGAGTATGTGTATTATCTAGATCCTAATGAATTTTGAATGCAAATAGATGATAACAAAAATAGCTTATCATGAGAAACTCAGATGGTTAGTTTTCTTTTTCCTATTCCGAAATACGATCAGTTGTGCGGGTGTCGATCAGCAATTTAAATGAACCGAATGCATTTCAAAATAAGAAACAAAATCAAAATGCTAATACACCATTCGCGCTCTGGTATTTAATAGCTGTATATAGCTCCTATAAAACTCTTAATTAAAAAAAAAGTCAATTCTTTATTATCTGAGTTCTTTTAACACTGTCATTCATAATGCCACTATCCGTATTATTGACAAAATAGTGTCTATCATTCTCATTGATGACATCTACTTTTGACAACACTAATTAATCACTATGACGAGAATGTAAAACATATTCTTAAATACTGTTCCATTTCAAGTCACCAGCTGTGCACAGCAATTAGAATAAGCAAAAAATATACATCGAGACTATAATAAAAAAATGCGGAAATATCGGATTTGCATCCGATTGTTATGTGTACTGCAAAAACTGAGTCGATTTATATATCTTGTGAATAATACTGAGAAAAAAATCCCTCTACTCCCCCCCCCCTCAGGGATGGCCTGGTCAATAATGACAATTTTTTCGATAACTCCGCCATTTCTTGACGGATCCTTCTCATCTTCCAACTCGACTGAGATATTGATGAGATCATTCTGTGTACAAAATTTCATGACAATTGGATGAGGCTTTCAAGAGTTATCGTGTTAACGGACGGACGGACACTAGCCGAATCTAGTGTACTCACTTTTTGAGTACACAAAAATATGAAAGGCTATTCCCTATTCAAAATGGCATTGTATGTTAACTATCAAAATTCTATGGCAAGAAAATTTCATGAACAAATAGTTTTATTCTTACTCATTATCACTTCGAATCGTAGTCACAGTTGGCGTTGATGGACGAGATGGATGAATGTGTTTCATGTGCAATCTTAAGCTTTGATCTTTTTCAAAATTTTCACCACACATTTGACAACGAAATAATGGCGTTGGCGTTGTTGGTAGAGATGGTGGCACGACAAAACATTTACGAATATGAAAATTATATTGTTTATCAGCAGTAAATTTTTTTAGACACTTTTTACACTAGAAAAACAGATATTAGAAAAACAGAATTAACTTTACTCTTTTTTAAGAAACCTGTAATGAAGGACTGTTCATTTCTTCATGATAGGCTAAATGGACACGATAATTTTGTATTCTTTGAAATTTACTTTTACATATATGACACTAAGAAAAAAGAAAATACATAGAAAAAAAGGTTTTTCATCTTGATTTATATGTTACTTTGAACGGGTGTGTGCCAACATGGCTAAGCAAATGTCGACGAAATAATTGATCGAGTATTCGAGGACTTTCCGTTTCACTAGATAATAAAAAAAATAACAGCTGTCCAATTGACTAATTATACACACAGAAAATGTCTGTCGGGTAATCAAAAGTGAATAATAACGATACATAGAGAAGGTCAATCAAACTAAGTGATAAAGAGCACTTCTATTTTCTCTACAATTGTAATGTAAACAATCCCATATTCCAGATAATATCAACCAGTACTCGTTTGGGAGTTCAATTTAGTCTTCAGAGGGAGTGTTTTGTACTGTTCAAAAGCTTTTGAGTTCGAACTTTTTCTTCTTCTTAAAGTCGAGTCCAGTGAGGTATGAAAGCATCCAACAAGAACTAATTCACTTGTACTATAATATCTTCATAAAGACAGATTTAACATTTTTCGTGGGATATGATTGATAGTTGAAAATCTCGCGAAAGCAACACTATTTGGAGTCGAGATTCTAAGGATATTCTATTGACAAATAGATCTATCTTTGGGCAGAATTCCAGTAAAGTGCCTATACTTCCGAATAGATCATATATCACTAGACGACTCTAGCTTATGAAAAAAAAGTCCGAACTTAATAACTGTTGGACACATTCCTTCGTTAGATTATCTCTTAGGGGGGATAAATCTGGATTAAATAATTCTCAAATGTTGAAACTGATATCAAAGAAAATCGAGAAAAAAGTGTTCGTATATACCTTTCAATTCTTGCATTGCAATGTGGTAAAAGACATCGATATGAGCGTCGTCGAAAGACAGATGCAGTTTCAAGTGGTTTCAATGTTAAATCTTGTAAATGTCCACTACCATGTGAAACGAAATCTTCATAAGCATTGAACTCCGCTGAACAAAGCACACATCGATATATTCGAGAAAATAACTTATGAATATCGTTGATCTAATAAATACAGAATAAAACATTGAACCTAGGCTTAAAAATTCATTTAAAAATGACCTTATTCGTTGTTTGTACATTTGTCTTAACGGTCGTATCATTCATATTCTGTACAAGTGATGCACATTTGTCGGAAGTATTATTTTCATTTGAAACAACAGCAAATTCAATACCAAATATTGATATTGTTGAACCATAGAATTTATTTACTTGATTATTTTCATCCGTGTTGTTATTATTATTATTGATTGATGTTTGAGCAATAACATGTTTTAATGCTGGATTTATTTGAACAGTTGGTGTTATGTCCGATTTACGAACAATATATACATTTGATGATGACGATGATGATGATGATGATGATGACGACGATGATGATTGTTCTGTAGTACGTGCTGCATTACTCAAGCGAATAACACGTACAACACGACGTTGACTTGTATTAGTATTTGTTTGAATAGGTGCAGTATCGTTTCGACGGATTATGCGGACACATTGTATTGCCGACGGAGAAGAAGAAACTGCAGGTGATGATGTTAATAGATCGGGTAGAGTTTTGCCATTAAAAATATTATCATCATTTGTTGATGCTATTAGATTACTGGCAAGATCAAGACTATCAAGAAATGAAAGACTCGCATCATCTTTGGATTCGGGAAAAAAATTCGTAGTAGTTTCGATCGGTTTGGGACGGGTATTATTATTATTATTATTGATTCTATTATTATTTATTGTTGAAGATGATGGCAGTGAAAAATAATCATCGTTGAAATCTTCGAAAGTCGGGTGCGAGAGAATTAATGGTGTTGCAGGTGAAAATGAATTTCGACGAGATTTACTTAATGAGATAGTTGAGTTAAGACTGTTGCGACGTAGATTATTGACTGTGGGATTATGATGAGGATGATACAATTGATAACTATTTAACATATTTTATTTTTAATCTGAAAACAAAACAAAGAGTAAACCAAAAGAGAAATTTTATTATTTTTCAGAATTCAAGCGTTTTTGTTTGTTTTTTCTTTTATTTTTTTTAGGTTTTTTCTCTGTTGGATTATTTTCAGCTAAAATCTCTTGTTCGAGAATACGATGTTTTAATTTATTGATTTTTTCTGCTTCACCAAAATCTTCTTCATCAAGTTGTATTTCAACTTGACTTCGAGTCATCGAAACTTCAACGAGAAGTTTGAGAACTTCTTTTTCTTTTACACGGTATTCAGTCAATTGTTTACTTATACGATCTTCAATTTTGTGCATTAATTTTACATCATATTGAGTTACAAGAGTTATAGAAGTGCCAGAACGACCTAAAATATAGAAAAATTCATTTTAGATTTTTTCAATGTAAACCATTGGTTTAGTGATAGAGAAATCCATCGCATGTTGCAGTAAATGCACTCACATGAAGCTTATCTTGTCTTCTTAGTACTGACAGTATTCAACTACGATGGAAATCTTGCATGGATTCAATCAGAAATACAAAACTTAGTTTTTCGCTCGAACCTATCCTCTTTGCTCCTTTTACCATAATCGAAAATAAATTTTTATTGAATAACAATTTCGTTTCAAACAAGCCTTAAAACTTTTTCTATGCATGAAACCTTTTCAATTGACATTATTTTGACTAAGCAGCCAGCTGTATTTGAAAAAGAACAGCACATTTTTTCTCATTAGCATAATAATATTACTGATCAGATTGAGTCCATTTGTGTAGAATTTGTGCCCTTTGCATGATACTCAACTATTACTCGATGAAATGCAGATGGTGCAAAGAAGGTCACATATTTTATTGTTAACACAGATATGCAGATCATGATCAAATACTTATGAAAATGTTTAGAAAATCAAACAATCCATCTTCTCGCAGGAAACGTGATATCACTTATTAAGTGTCATATCGTTTGTTCATTAGAAGAAGATACTATTCAATTACACATCATATTATTTTATAAAGATAATCAATGCAATTGACCTAAATAAGACTTATCAGTTTACATACCAGCACGAGCTGTACGTCCTACTCGATGAACATATTCTTTCGGTACAAATGGTACATTGTGATTAATAATGAGATCAACAGAAGGAATATCGAGACCTCTAAATAGGGAAACATATAAAACTAAATCGAGATCATTGACTATAAGTTTACCTCGATGCTACATCAGTTGCAAATAATATACCAACTTGAAGAGATTTAAATTTTGCTAACGACGCTAAACGCTGTCGTTGTTTCATTAGAGAATGAATTTCAACAGATGGCATCTGAAATTTTCGACACATCATCGATAAAATCTGACAATCACGGCATGTACTAGTGAAAACAATAGTTGAACCACTACGTTTTTTTTCTGCACTACCACCTTCTTCGTCATCATCCTTATTGCCATGATACAACGATAGAAGATGAAAAAGATAAGCATCTTTAACATTCGATGGTACTAATAGATAGTATTGATCGAGTTTGTCTGCGGGTTGATGGCTAAATATAATAATACAATATGAAACTTTATCAAACATCAAATGAAGTATTCTTACAGTAAATTTCCATCGAATAAAAATGGTTTTCGTTCTGAAATCGATTGCACTTGTTTAATTGTATCCGTTATCGTGGCACTGAATAGTAGTGTTTGCCGTTGTTTAGGTAATATGGAAAATATGGTTTGTAATTGTTTACCGAAATTATCTTCTAATAAACGATCAGCTTCATCGAGTACCTAAAAGATTTATTTCTGGAAATAAATTTTTCAAAAGTATTATTCATACCAAGAATTTTATTTTATTCAACGAAAATTCAGTGCCACTCTCAATATGATCAGCAAGACGTCCTGGTGTAGCAATCACAATATGTGGACTTTCAGTTAGAGCTGAATTTTGAATCATCATATCTTTATGAAAAAAAGTTAAGATAAATTTAAAAGAAAAAAGAATCATTTAATTTACCCATTCCACCGGTAATTACACAATCTTTTAAACCTAATGGTTTACCAAAGACACGAAATTGATCAGCAATTTGATAAGCTAATTCTCTAAAGAAAAAGAACAAGCGTAATTGCCTTATTATTCTTATGAATCTATACCGTGTCGGTGTGAGAATAAGTGCAAAAATTCCATAAACATCATCACTAAGTACATCAAGAATAGGTAATGCAAAAGCTGCTGTTTTACCGGAACCGGTTTTAGCACATGCTAAAATATCTTGACCTAATGAAAATAGAAAGATTAAGGAAACAATATGATCAATAGATATATACATATACCCTCAAGAATACGTGGAATACACGCTTGCTGAACAGGTGTCGGATGTTCAAAACCAAGTAAACGACATTGATCTTTTAGCCATTTTTTTAATGGTAACGGATCGAATGTTGATGATTCAACAACATCTTTTTGTAATTGCGTTTCTGCTGCTTCTGTGTCACTCATTTCTATTCTAAAAGTCCAAACATAAAAAACCTCTGGTAGAAATTCTTTTAATTCGAAAAATATATAAGTATCTTGGTGCTTTATAAAATTATCTGAACAATAGTATTTTCTACATTAATGAATTGTTACATTCGTTTTTGGTTAGTCACAGTTTGGTAAACTATATGATATAACCGACTGACTGACTCAGTCCACCTATATTTATTGGCTAACATCGTTTACAAAAAGAGAAGCTCGGCAACAGATGTCGCTACTGATTTTTCTTTCATTCACCACCGATTGTTGTAACCGTTTGGAAGCGGTCTATTAATCTCATACAATGAATGATTGTCTCTTTGTTACGTATTAAATTATTTATATTTGGTTTTTGTATTATTCATCATTCAATTCATCGACTAATCTTCTTGTTTTCATTTAGTGTTGGTAAGTCGTCGTCATCAAGTGATTATTATTATTATTAAGAAAAGTCTTTATCCAAAATTTGTTTTAGTAATATTGATAGTTTCATCAGTTGGGTTTAATCTGTTATCCTGATTTCGTACATATGGCTGAAATGAATCTTCAAAATACGTCGTTTCCTAATAATAGTCGTGATAGCTCTCGTAGATCTAGCACATCAGTGATTAGTAATCGTTTTAATTCTGTCATTACGGGTGAGCTTAAATCGTTAAGTATAGAAGCGGAGAAATTGAAGAATGTCACAAGAAATAATAGTTATTAAGCGTGCACAAATGAAATTCTGTATTTTTGCATTAGTAAGTATGATTTTCTCGGTAACATTCAAAACTATAATTAATTTATTCGTTGAAGGTGCTTTGTTTATTTACACTTGCACTTTATTTTACTTTAAAAATGAATGGATTCTTGGCCATAATCATCAGTATATATGAATATATTGTACTGCGTACATAAAATTTTTTTTTCTTAGGTTTAATGGCAATATTACTCATCATCAAGGCCTACAGAATGTTTCGGGTTTGCATTTATTTACACATGTTTTTACAATAAATTTTGCATCTTTTGTAGGAACAAACCGATTCATTCATTGATTAGTTTTGATCTTTTTTGTTTATTGGTCTTTTTAAAAAAGAAGTGTCCAACGAAGCTTTGGAAAGACGTTACATCATTTATTGGTTATTAGAGAATAAATAATTTTTTATATTAAATTGATTACAGCATAGTGCATATTTTCTATTTAATCTTCACAGGGTTTACTCTGTCGTTTCACTTACGGTATACTTGTTTCAGTAAGTTTTTCTGATTAGAATCTTCGAAACTATTTTTAAACTTATTATGAAACATTAAGTTGAGGTGAAACGTCATAAGAGTCAAATGGAACTGCATCATTTTTTCAAAGAGCAACCTCATTTTGGAATTCATCTGATACGCATCAGGTTCATGGTAATTAGTGTACCCAGGTCGTGGACGTACGGCGGGAAACGGCCGGAAAGCGCTGGAAACTGGAAGCAGTATTCCAGTTGGAAGTTACCGGATTTTCTTCCTGTAGATTCCGATCAACTTCCAGATGTAAAACACAGAAAACTGACCGGAAAACACAGGAAAAAAATCCGGTAACTTCCAACTGGAATACTGCTTCCAGTTTCCAGTGCTTTCCCGTGCTTTCCGACCAGATACGGTGATTTTTCCGTATCTTTCCGGCCGGTTCCTACAGTATCCACCCTCCGGAATCATTGACCTGGGTACATTCATACGTTTCTGATTTTCTAATTCTTCTTGAACTTTCATAAGATCATTGTCTGTTTCTTGTTTCTCTTTAGTTAGTAATTGAATTTTTTCTTCTAAAATGTGATTTTTTTCTTCTAAAACTTGGATCTTCATTGACTTTTCATCTTCAAATTCATATTCAGCTTGATTTTTTTCTTGTACAACTTCTTGATGGAGTCTCATTTCTGTTGCTGTTTGTTGTTGAACATATTTCATATAATATTCGTCTATTGTTGTGAATGGTGCAGGTGTCTGATGTACTAAACCTTCTAGTTGCTGTAATTTTTTATTACATACTATTGATTGTTCTAACTAAATAAAAGATGAAGTTTTAAAAAGTATATTTATTTTTTTCCTACTTCAGATTCGCAATTTGGTTCTTCTTGGTTCGTACAGGATTTCCTTTTATGCAGCATAACCCTTTCACATGGTAATGCAGCAAGTTTCGTATTCTTTTTATAGGCGGTGTGCCTATCAAAACATGTACCAGGAGATAGATTCAAAACAGTATTTTCTTTGAAATCCCATGCATAAACATGCTGTGTTAAAATAAAATGGCTAAAAGAATTCTTTTGCTTTAATACTGTATAAAGATTAATGTGTGTATGTGTATGTACCTATAGAGATGATCGTGATGAAGATGATTGCAGGCAACACTTTGACAAGTCAAACAAATACCAAGATTCTAAATAATAAAAAATTTAAAAAAATAATGTCTATGTATAATATACATTGTATATTTTACTTCTTCAGAATCGCATTCATGACATCTTCGTCCAACAATAGTATTATTTGTAACAGTTGTTGGAAACATTGCACTTCTTGTAAGGATAAATATTTATCGTATTGAATATGTAGATAAATGATGATGATATGAAGAAACTAAACTGATACAGATGAGATTGGTAAATCAGAAGTAGCAGCGTTTCATGAAACAAATTTCATTAAATGATGTGCTATAAAAAATGAAAGAATATTGATGACAGTTGAAAATGAAAATGACTTTACTGGATGTGTTACAAACATTTATATCAAACTTGACGATTATAAGTTCATTGTTCTGCTGACTATTCATATCACTTATACATAGCGGAGCGTGGAGGAAAAACAATAAGAGCTAATGTCGACGGCAAAAACAAAATAGAAAAACAAATATATTCGACGACGAAAATGACTGTTTATAATGAGTCATAGATGAATGCATATTACACTATGACTGCCTTACAAAAACAAATATATTGATAAAATAGGATATTTGTAATGAGCCTAATAGTACTGAATCATGTATGTCGACATGAATTTAAATTACGTACATTTTGTGTTTAGTCTACAGCATAGCGTCACATATCTTCGGCGTAACTCGTACAATCATAAAATATAGCGAATTCATTCATTAACGTTTTTGTTTTAACACAATCAATATTTGTCTATAGATCAGCTTTAAAATCAAGAAAAATTTTAATAATTTGCGGTTCATATCTCATATTTAACCATCGTAAAATAAAAAATAAACATATGAAATGGTAACACCATCATTCACGATTAGACCATTATGGTAGAAACAAACTACTTTCATAACAATTTCTACGTCGAAAATCCATTTGAAGCGATGCACAGAGAGTTCATTTCTTCAAAAATTTGATTGATTATTTCATTCAACTAGAAAAACCTTTCATGTACCGAAAAATCCATAGTTGCTTCACATGGAAACATATAGGGAATCGTTTGATGCTCGTGCGCTTTATTCGAATGTTTCATTGTTTCTTTCCTTTCCACAATAAAAATTTTAAAATAAGAAAGTTTCTTGCTCTGAATATCATCAAACTTTTATCGAATGCATATACTACTTTGTCCAATATGTTGAACAAAAAAAATGACGTCAAATTGCCATAATGCTTATGTGCATGATGGTAACCAACTGAGATAATAGTTAATCGATTCGGTAATAAGCTAATTAATTTTAACAAAATGCTATGGATAGTATGAGTCATATTTAATCAGACTCTCTTATGTTAAGAATTTCTCGGAAAAGCAAATGACGCACAAATGAAATAATTCGATGAGAAAGCGAATTAAAATTATAGTTACGTATAAATAAAACAATCAATCAAAATCAGTAAAAGTATGCTACTAGAGTCGTTTCAAAAGTACTGCATCGCTAGCATATGATGGGGAATATGAATTTGCGGCAAAATCGAATTCATTAAAATCATTTCTATTTGTGACAAAATAGAAACTGTAGTGGTATAGCAGTATATCCCAGGTCGATCAAAACGGACCACCGTAAACCGGCGTAACATTACCGTAAACGGTCGTGTTTGCATCGTATTCCGTCGTAAAACGGCCTTTTTAAGCCGAATTAAGGCGTTTTAACAGTGGTAGTATTACGGTCATACACGGACACCGCATATCAGCCGTAAAACCTCGTAAAGCCGGCGTAATATTATAGTATTCTATAGAACATACGGCCGTATTACTGCCCCTGTTATACGGGGAAAATACAGCACGTAAAACGGGCCGTATTTGTATCGTATACGAACGTTTACTGATCGTTTTCTTCGACCGCTTATAAGCGGTATACCGCTATACTACTATACCATACGATGGGGTACCTAGTGTGGGTGTGGGGGTACCTTCTCCCCTGTCTCTCTGTCTCTGTAAGGGATACGTGACATCTAGCTACCGCTATACCACTATAACAGTATAGGTAGTATAGCGGTATAAGCATTTTGAATTTGCCGAAAATTCAAATACCCCATGAAGTCATCGCTAGTATTGATTCTCACTTAACTTCCTCATATATCGATTGATATTTTTACATTTATACGTATAGTGATGATTACGGTGAACTAAAATAGTTGGAAAATTATATTGTGCTATATTATAAGCCTATGATCATGATTGTAGCTGTCTAATTTCATCGGATATTGGTTCGCTTGCATCTTCAGCAGTTTCATTTCTGAAGTTATCAAAAAAAATAATATTTGCACATCAAATGATTTAAGATTCGAATGGAAATGTCCACTTAATTGATATTCAGTTTAAAGTTTCCATAAATTTGAATGAGCATTACTATTCTATAGATAAAGAACAAAAGAATTGTAGTATGAAAATCCGATGAAAAGTTTTTCTATTAACTTTTCGAATAAAATCTGTTAAAATGTTTATATGATTCCCTACAATAAAGAGTGTCTTAATAGTCGGAGTTTCCTAAAACACTTCTCCAATCAATCTGTCATCATTCCAAAGTTTCATTTCTGTCTATACTGATTAATCAAAAAGATCTTTTCTTTATTCGAAATCCAATTCTATATTAATCACCTTACTGTCAAATATAGTTCTTGCAGTTACATCAATCGCTCTTTTATTAATGATTTCAGATGGATAAACTTTGTTTAGATACCATACAGTTTTATTCCAAAAAAAAATTATTTATTTTAAGATTAATAGCTAAAAGAGGTATAAAGTAGCATTTCGTTTTTCTAATTAATTTTTAAGTATAGGAGTAGATGATGAGTACTGTTGATAATATCATTACTATTATTATTTTTATAATAGGAATTTGGTGGTCAAAAACCACGTAAGATAATTTAGGTTGTGATTCGTGCATCTTCAAATACGATTCGCCCAAACATTCTACCGAATAAAACCAACATCAGACCAAGACAGATCTCGACGAGCTCTATCGATTGCAATATTTACTTTCCGTCTAGAATTTTTCCTTCCTATAGAAAAACCTGAATTAATACAGAAGGGTGTGGGTGTGTTGACCTTCGATTTATACCCACACCCGCATACCACATCTCATATGAACAATTCAGAAATCTTATCAAATAGATATCATGCATTCATGTTGAAGGTTAAAATACTGTAGAGAAATAAATTATGATAGATGATTACTTGTGTAGAATTATTTTTCTTCGTTTTTATAATATTTTTCAATATACTTCTTTGATTGACTATTTGAGTGCTATTAAATATTTCACAGCTATTGTAATTTCCTAAAGAAAGTTGATATAACCTAGTAGATGATTTTGTTGATCTGATCAATATCTGTATTTATGAAAACACGAATCTCTCTAGAATTGTTTCTGTTTGTTTTTCATTGCAGGATTAGTTTCGACATCAATCACGTTCAACAATCAATCAGTCATCCGGTAGCTATCTAAAGTACCGTCGAATGTTATTTGCTTGTTAGCAGCTGATGTTGTGTATTTAAATGCTTATAGTACATGACATAGATGAATGTTTATTTTGATTCAGTTACGATAGGTAGAGAAAAAACGATCCAAAAAACATCGAAACAATAATCATGTCTGCAACATATATAATTAATGCTACGCTTCGCATCGCATTCATGTAGTCCGTCGCGTGTTTTCTTTTGCTTTTGCTTTCTCGATGTATACATCTTTTTCATCATTTTGTGACCCGATGATCTCGAGTGCCAAAATCATAGAAAACTCATTGAAACGGAAGTTGAAAGTATCGAGATCGAACTTCTGACATATTTTTTCTATTCTTTAATCTAATATTCTGTTCACTCACAAATGTGGATCCAAAATGACGAAAATGAAAGAAATTTATCAAGAGATAATTAAAGTGACGTCACGAACATATGATAGCCACTATAGTCTATTCATTTACAGCTGATCTAAGATAATGAATCATGGAGATAATTAATCGATCAATCGAAATCGATCCTTAAGAATGAATCGCAAAGTAAGAATAGAGTTTTCTCAGTGATGAATTTGATCATGTCGACATAAAAAGTATTCAAGACTTCTCTGAATTGAAGATTTTTCGTGAAGATCCGATTCGAGCTTCGCATCGCATTTTGTATTCGAGTGAAACTTGAATACCATCTAGTTTTATGTGAAATTCATTTGAAACAATAAAAGTGCGCTGTTGTAAATCAAAACGGTATTACTTTGATATTACTCATGCAGTAAGAACCGTGACTATTTCATAAATTCTGAAAATTTTATTTGTCTTTCTCAGTGAAAAAGTCAATGATAAAACTGAACTATCAAACAATTAGCGAAACTAATGTGAAAGCAAGCAACCATGTTAGTTCACGAGTCTAGCGAGAAAATATTGAAATATGATCGTTATTATACATCGGTACATGTTGACTAGTAAGAGAAGAGGAAGTTGAAAGGTTAACTGAAAAAATTGAATTACGTTTGCTTTTCTTGTTCACTGATTTTCGAAGAAATTTTCTACATTCTCTTTTTGATAAATTTAGTTAATATTAAGGAAAATGTTTCAATGGATCTCATCAAACGACATGAATGAGCTGTGTTTGCAACATCAAAACAATGATTGGCCTTATCATCACTTTATATTATCCATTTCCTCATTATTTCGACGAATAAAATGTTTTCTATAGAAGCGAGAGAGGAGAGATTATCATTGATTTTTCAAGATTCGCCACAAGACTGAAACAAAAATGTTCAATTAACTATCTAGCGTCCAAATTGATATGCCGCTTGAAGTTTAGGGACACTTGGATTACATATTTGACCACGGTCGGTACCAGCCGCACCAACAACAACGTGAAGCGGAATCAAATGTTCTTCACGAGGATGGTTAGCACGAGCATATGGCAACATTTGTTCCCAATTGAGAAGAATGTTCTCTCGTTCATGTGCATCACATTCTGTCAACGCGCGAGTGAGAGCATCTACAAATTGATTTGATTGTCCTGGTCCTCCTTGTCCATGAATCGTTGAACCAGAACCAATAATAAGTACATTTTCATTTCGCAGCGGAGCCAATGCTTTGCCAATTAACAAATGTTGTGCAGGCGAAAGAGAACTGAGAATAGACATGGATACTACGGGTATGTCAGCTTTTGGAAAGATCAATTTCAGAGGAATGAATACACCATGATCTAGATTGCGTTCGGCATCGAGTTTGCAAGGAATAGAATCTTGTTCAAGTAATGATTTCACTCGTTCAGCTAATTCAAGATGTCCGGCTGGTGTGAACTCGATTTCATATGCTTCTGGTGGAAAATTGTAGTAGTCATAGAAGAGTTTAGAATGTTGTGTTTGAGCAGAAATGTGAACTGCCTCTTTGGTTTCCCAATGAGCGCTGATTAGAAGAATAGCTTTAGGTGGTCGGTCCAATGACAATTGACTGTATAATTGACGAAACCATTTTGCTGCAGGACTATTTTTATCAAAATTATTTGGACCTTGTCTTGTCGACGATTCCAAAAACATCATAGGACCACTAGAAAAGAAATGTCGATTATTAATTACATAAATCGTAAATCCATGAAAAAGTTTCGCTCATCTAGCTGAATCTCTTTTTTTTATTGTAATCAGATTTAAAAGAGTTTGTGCATATCCTGAAAGGTCACCAATCAGATTCCTGTCATGTAAAAAATTAGACTTACGCTCCATGTGTAACAAATAAAACCGGTAGACGAGCCATTTTCAAATTCCAGTCACTCGTTACTATCGTTGTGATCGGTTGATTAAAAACGACGAAAATTACCCTTTCATCGGCTAACAACGATTTATATCGTCTCTTATACTGCTACAAATGACAAAGCAAAAAAAAACGTAAACTCATACAGCATTGAAGTAAATTCATACAATGATGACAAAGCTAAAATTACTGGGTCAGAATGATTCATGTTTTCTTTTCTTTTGCCTGTTCTATACTTCACTGATTATGTTGTCTGTCAGTTTCAATCATTGCTAGAATGCGTCGAAGAGTCAACATTTAAATCATATGATTCTTTCTAGAACCTGATAAATTAATTTTATTCGTAACAGAAGATTTTAAGTTGATAGGATAAATTGTAAATATTATTAATTAAGTCGTTCTTGGTTTACCTTTACCAGGTAAAGCTGGCAGTATTTTTAGAATAGCTGCGATTAAATGAGAACCAAAGCAGTAATTAAACAAACTTATTAATTATATATTTTCGTTCTTTGATCTCCGATGAAAAGAATACACTTGAGTTCATCTGTACAAACAAGAGTACGAAAACTTGACGAACTCATTGAAATAATTTCACTACAGTATATTGTGAACAATTCAAAAGCCAACTGAAGATTTGTAAGCTAGCTGGAAAAGCACATTTACTGAGTTCGATCGTCTTTAATCCATATTGTATAACTAACATCAATGTGTGTTTCAATAAAGATACGAAAGCAACGCTCCTTCTCAAGCTATCAATATCAGAAATGTGACCAAGTCAAAGTGTTGTCTAGCAAATTCTAAATTAATTTTCATCTCCTATTTTACTTAAGAGCAGAACGAAACTCCGCTTCATCAAAATCAAGCCAACTCTATTCTATAGTGAACATAGACGATGCATTCCATTGTTTACCCAAACAGATCCATTCCATTATCAGCAAAATTAAATGATCAGAAACTTTTATTTGTACAATTTTATAATTCTTTTTCAGAAATGCTTTTGCTTGCAGTCTAAAAATTCATAGAGGCCAAAGAATACTCGTTATGGCTATTATAATAAGCTGTCGCAGATGAGAATTTTGGACATCTCAATAATATTGTAGAGAGATTCATGTTACATCCACTCTATTCTCAACATGATTCAAACATGTTGTAAAGGTTTCATGAAGATTGAAAAAAATCACTCGCATAAATGACAAAATGTTTCTTATTTTCAACTTTTTGTTTTTATGTTTTATATAGTAAATAAATATATGCAATATGTCAACAATGATTTCAGCAATTGAAACTCTTCCACCAGAATTATTTCGATCTATTATTGCTTTCCTCTCTCCAGAAGATACATCTGCTTTGGCACAGACATGCCATCGAATGTATATAATTACACGTGACGATAAAATATGGCAGCGATATTTTTTAAAAAGGTACTCAATTGCTATGCTAAAGAGGAACAAAATGCGAATAACTAGAATACACGAAATATGTAAAATAAATGATTACTCATTTCATATCATATTTATTGCGCTGCAAACAATAAAAAATAGTTTTTCGAGCCACGTATTTATTCAAAAATTAAAGTTATCACAAATTATAAGAAATTTTCTTACAGGTATACATACACACTTAGTTTTCCTCATTATTCAAATGGAGAATATTTGCTCAGTTCTGCACTGAAAACTACTGAAGCTGTTGATGGTTGTACATGGCAAGCATATTTTGCCGAAAGATCACTTCAAGATAAACATATACGATCGCTTCTAAATGAAATCATAACCAATCGTACAAATCGTAGGTTATAGAAAATAAAACGATTGAGTTCTCTCATGTGTTTTTATTTAGGAATATCTAAAGCTGATTTGATCTCATCAAAATATGGTCTTTTGGCTTTTGATGTGCTGAAAAATTATTTTTCACCTACTACTGACATATTCAAACAATTCAATATTTTGATAACGACTGCAACTTCACGTAATCTTACGCGAGAATATTATGCATTGGATCTGGCTCGATTTATTTCTCGAAATATTGGATTAACTCTACTAAACGAAATGAAGAATCAAATCGAAATGCCTACTGAAGGCAAAGCGTTAATTAATGTCTTATTTATTATTCAATGTTTTCATCCTCATGGCATATTTCTATCGTTAAATCGTCTTCATTCAATTGGACAGCGTCTTATTAATGATCGCTTATTTTCCTCACTTACTCTACATGAAAAATGTCAATTAATAATCACTACCATGAAAAAAGAAAACTTTCTTCCAGCAAGTGCTTCTAATGAATATTATGATTTAGAAAATTCATTTCTTTTCTCAACATTCAATGGGAAACCAACAATTCCATTAACACTCGTTTCGATTTTTTGTGCATTAGCTGACGAATGCGGTTTAGTAGCTCGACCTGTTGGTTTTCCCGGTGAAGTTATGGCACAAGTAGAACAACCATTAGATAGCTCCATGCCATTGATAATTAGTGTTTTCGACAATAAAATCATGTCGCTTGATGACATCAATGAACGTCTAGCTAATACTATTCAAACACCGTTAACTTATCCTCTAACGATTACTCCAATGAGTGACTTTGTTATTCGATCAGCTCGAAATATGGTACATAGTATTGGTAGAAATACAACATCATCATTGAATTCATATGGTCTTTATGCTGCTGTATCGATTCTTAAAATTTTAGGCGGTGATGCATTACCATTTGCTTATGATTCTATGATGAATGTTCTAAAAGAACATTTTCCAATGGATATACATTTTCTTGAAATGCTTTCATCGTCGATGACAAATGCTTTTGATGAGCTTAGTCAAATACGAATTCAAGATGCAAATCCTCTACCAATCGAAGAAAAACGACGTAAAAATTCTTCTCCAAAATTTTATGTTGGACAAATATTTCAACATAAACAATATAATTATTGGGGTGTAATTTGTGGATGGGATCTAAGTTGTGCGGCTTCACCAATATGGCAAGTACGAATGGGAATACCGAACTTAGTACGAGGAGCATTACAACCTTTTTATCATATTTTGGCAGATGACTTTTCAAGAAGATACGTAGCTGAAGATAACATCAATGCATTGGCATTTACTTCTATTGAAAATAAACAAGACACACATGCGATTGTAGAAAAGTTACGTTCAATCGATGGCATTGGAAAATATTTCGAAACAGTGGATATTATTAATGCAAGATTTATTCCAAATATGGAATTACGCAGTGAATATCCCGATGATTTTGTTTGATTTCTAACTTGTGATTCATTGTTCAGTTTTTATTTAACTATATATTTTTTAATAAATGTTATACTGACATAGTCAATCAGTGATCACCAATACAAATACTAAGATTTCCGTCAGATTCTAAGAAAAAAAAAACACATAGTCTATTAATCAAAGCTAAAGGATCATTTTCTAGAAAGTAAATAATTGCTCCTTTAAAAAGAATCACATTCTTCCAGATATAAATTAGACACGTAGCGATGCAACGAGTGATTGTTCGCTGTTCTTTTTGTCTGTTTTACATTAATAAAAGTTTGCTTTTAAAGCGTTGGCAATCATTCAATATTGATTCATGCATCTCTATTTTCCTTGTAGTCTCTCTTAAATTAAGAAAAGTATAACTAGTAGAATTTCTCATATATGAACGAGATGAAACAATATTCTTAGTATCATTCGATTTACTGATTAGTGTTCGGGAAAATGCCTGTACGACCATTAACCATCAGTTCTATTATCTTTCCAGAACATTTTCGATTTGTTAACAATCATCAGGTCAGATTCGATTAGGAGTCATGATGAAAAACATATCTGTTCACATTGTAGAAGTGGACATCAACTCTGATTTGGTCAACTTTAGTTGTCACCTTTTCGACAAGTTTTGTTATGGGTGTTAACATTGGTGGACCCAATGTTTATAATGCAGTAAGTGTACTTCTTTTTATTTTCTTCTATTCTGATAATTATCTAATATAAACGAACTATTTTATAGTTCATTGTACCTTGGACACGAGGATATCCATTTCCATGCCAAAAAGATGCCGGTGTTGCACAATGGGTAGCAGGTGTATGGTGGAATTGCAACTATGACAATGTCTCACATATGAATAAAACAGGCTATTATTATCTACCTGAAGTACCCACCAATCGAGAGCCTATTCAACGGTTGATAGATGCAATGCATACGATTTGTTTTGTTCTCGGTGGTACTATTGGAGGTTTTACTGGACAATATTGGTATATATTTCTAACGCGGTATTTATTGAAAAAATGCTTATTTTCAATTTTTATTTATCTATCTCATTGTAGAAGAAATGCTATTTTTGTAAGTATGATCTTTCAAGTCGTTGCATCTATACTTATGATCATTACATTGGAAATCTATTATGGATATACAGATGGTGATCCTGATCTATTGACCATTGTTCGTACACTCCGAAATAAAAATGTGGCTGTTGCTCTTCTGTACATATCACGACTTTTATCTGGATGGTCTGCAGGAATGTGTTGTGTGGTATCTACAATTTACTTGACAGATATCAGTCCACGGCCTATGCGTGGCAAAATTGTAACATTTCATCAGTTGTTTATCGTCATTGGACTTCTTGTTGGACAAATCGTTGGTCTACCGTGGCTTCTTGGTCGACATAAGCGAGTTCTCATATTGATTATTTTTTTAAATGAAATATTGCCATTGAATGTTTTTAGTACATGGAATTGGGGCATGTCATGGATTGGCCTATTTTCATTGGCAGGTTGTGTTCTCATTTGGACATTACCTGAAAGTCCACGCTGGTTGGTACAAGATCATCAAAGAGATGCAGCTGCTCGATCGCTTCGTACGCTTCGTCAGAATAATTTGATTGAAGCAGAACTTGATGAAATCGAAAGGCAAGAAGCTACTGCTGCTATGCAAGATAAATCTATTTACTGTATGTGTTTTTCACCACGTTTTCGCTGGCCATTGCTAACTAGTATAACATTGAATGCTGTTCAACAATTTTCTGGCATTAATTCAGTACTGAAGAATCTCTATGAGCTCGTTCTTTTCATCATTCTATTTTGAATTTCAGGTCTTTTTTTATTCGAGTACAACATTTTCCGAAATCGGTTTCGTCGAAGATAAAGTTTACTGGGGTATACTTTCAACGGGCATCATAAATCTCATTGCAACAATAGGAGCACTAAAACTTGTCGAATCATTCGGTCGTCGATCTCTAATACTCTATCCACTTGTCATGATTATTTTCGTTATGATTCTGTTATGTGTTTTTATTGAAATGCATAAACGTACGTTTTCTATTTTTGCTTGTAGTAAATCGTTTTTTTATATAGAAAACTATCGTTTAGCTATCGTGGCATTATCGTTAACATTAGTATTCATTGTTTTATTTGCCATCGGCCTTGGGCCAATTCCTTATATTTATCCAAATGAAGTGTTTACTATTGATATGAGACCAGCTGCTCTGTCCATTTCAATGTTTGCAAGTTGGCTTTGTAATACATGTAAATTGTTAAATAGGATTAAGATTAACAAGGATGATGCATCTCTTGTATGCTACTCTTTTTGTTTTAGTGATTACTCTATTTTTTCAAACATTACGAACAGTATTTCAGGGTTTCGTTTTCCTTTTCTTTTGTGTTTTTTGTTCATTAGCTCTTTGGCTTTTGTGGTTTAAGGTTAGTTGGATTTTTTTCTTGATTGATACACAAATTAGATTTTTCTTCGTCTTATATTTATATCAGATGCCCGAAACAAAACGTAAAACACTGACCGAAATTGAAGCGTTTTGGCAATAGAAACAATGTGGAAAATTTGAAAACAATTTCGATTAATCTGCATGAAACGTGGATCTTAACGAGCGATCAAACACAAACTTTTGTCTGTTAGTCTTGTTTCTGTTTTGCTTCAAATAATTAATGTAACTTACGAATAAAAATATTGTGTATATCCATGATTTTCGAACGTTGTAAAATCATCACTGTATAGTTTCTACTTCTTAAAACTGTAAGATGTCAGTTCGTGTTATTCATAATTAAATATCAATAACAGGAGAATCAGGAAATGTTCGTTATCCTATGTAATTCAGTCGGAATAGGAGTATTTTTTCAAATGTACACAATTTGAATCCTCCTATTTTCTGGTGTTCATAGCCCGACACCTTCTGAATATGTGACTAAAAAACAGCTTCCTGTTGAGATCCTGTCTGTTGTTGATTTACTCGTCTTTTTCTCTAAATAATTTTTCAATAAGTAAAATATATAGTGTTTACCTTGTTTTCTATTTTCATGTAAATACGCCGTTGGATCAGAATATATCCTATGTTTGGATTATTTCAATACAATGTTCAAATTCTCTTTTTGCCAGTTGAATAGACATGCAATTATATTTTTCTATTTTTTCATCTTTTTTTCAACAGTGTCGGCTAATTAAGCTTGAAAGTTATTATACTTGTAGTATCGTACGTCAAGAAATAGGATATATTACGACGAAAAAAAAATTCTTATTCGAATGCGTGAGTTTATCTCACATTCCTGAAGATACTTATTTTCTTTATTAAGAATTATATCTTGTTTACGTATTTAATGTATTTTCCATAATCGCAATAGAATCATCAAAACAGAATTCAGAGTTTTGCAGAATTGTTTTCATGTGCATTTATATCCAATTTCATAAATACTTAGGTTTCTTCTTACACAATATTATAAAAAAGAATTCCTCTTCATTTCTATTATTAACTTTTTTCAGAAAGGTAACTGACAATTTTTCTGTAAAGGAAAAGATAAAACGGTGTTTCCTTTTTTTTCTTCTTTCTGATAATATGCGTGACTCTTTTTGTAATAAAAAGAAGAGCACAACACGATGATACCCACACTCGACGTTTCCTGAAAACTTAAACACTGCTTTCAACATTTATGAATAAAACTCCGAACCATCATTCAATTGAAGCTATACCGAATCGTGAAAATATTCGTTTAATTTATTTAAATAATTCTCACGCAAGTGTTGATATTGAATCAAATCTGATTAAAATAAATCCGGCTACACAAATTTATACGGATATTAAACTATGTATCGACTTTATAAAAACATTATTTAATGAAAAAGTTTTTTTAATTATTTCAAATATTATATTGACAAAAAGTTTTTTTTCAATTTATTTTTTACAACCCATTATTGCTATTTTTATCTATGACGAAAAACAAGATATCAGCGAATTAAAAATTCAATATCCTAAAATAATTGATCTCTATACAGATCATAATGAATTATTAAAATCTATTCAAGAAAAAATTCAATTTATTGAAAAGCAAACATTTATCTATAGTTTATTTGATGAAAAAGAAAAATCAACTTTATTTCTTTGGCATTACATGTTAATCAATATTCTTAAGCAATTGCCACAAAATGAATGTTCACACGATGAACTATTAGATAAAACTGAATTATTTCGTCGAAATTCTACAAGTCAACAGGTTGTTGACTGGTATTCGAATGAATGTTTTCTAAAGAAATTGTTAAATCGTGCATTGCATACAGCTGATTTTGATATTTTATATGCCGCACGTTTTTTTCTTATTGATTTATGTTGCCAAATTGAACATGAAAATATTAAAAATGAGACCTATTTAATTGTGTATCGGACACAAATTATGTCTATGGGAGAAATTGAAGAATTAAAAAAATCTATTGGTTATTTAATTTTCATAGATACTTTTTTATCTGCGTCTCGTACTAAAAATAAATCAATTTTTCAACAAAAATTTTCAATCTACGAGAATGTTGTTCTCGAAATTCATGTTGACCTGTCCATTGAAACAATTACTTTAGTCGATGCCTCGTTATTGAACTCAACATTGTGTGACAACGAAATTTTAATTAATATCAATTGTTTGTTCGAAATAGAAGCTATAGAATATGATTTTATGAATAATTTATGGAACATAAAAATAATAGCAAACAACGATGGAAACATGCGTGTTAACAAATATTTAACACAGATACAAAAAGAACTGGATTACCCCAGTAGAATGGTCTATTTTGGATATCTCCTTTGGAATGAATTGGGTCAAATAAATCAAGCAAAAAATTATTTTAACATTCTATTGAAATCATTATCAGAAAATGATGAAAATACTCCTAAAATTTATCTTGAACTAGGACAAATCAATGATGAGATAAAACAATATAATTTAGCATTACAAAACTATCAATCTGCTTTAGATATTTATCAAAAGCAACTATCGAAAGATAATATTCGTATTGCTTCGGTGTTAAATTATATTGGATTGGCTTGTAAACACATGGGTAATCTTGATCGAGCAATGGATTATTATCGGCAATCATTAAAAATTTACGAAAGTACATGTTCAAAAGATGAAGATCATCTACATCGAACTCATACTATGGTGAATTTAGCTTTAGCATATAGAGATAAAAAAGAGCTCGATATTGCTCTTAACTATCTCACTCAAGTTTATGATATTCGCCGTAATATTCATTCGAATAATCATTCATTACTTGTAAACATATTAATTCATATTGCTAATGTTTATTATGATAAAAATGATTTTAATCACGCTCTTGAATATTACCAACAAATTCTATCGATCGAAGAAATAACATATCCAAATGATCATCTAAATAAAGCAACTACACTACGACAGATTGGTCTTCTCTATTGTGATAAACACGATTGGGATAATGCTTTAAATTATTTAAATCATACATTAAAGATTCGTCAAAATTTATCCTCTCCGAATATAAATCATCCTGATATTGCCGTAGATTATGGTCATATTGGTAATGTTTATGAAAAAATGAATAATTTAGATTTGGCATTCCATTATTTAAATCAACAATTTCAAATCGAAGAAAATTATTTATCTTTTAATCATCCAGATCTAATAAAAGATTTTGATAGATTAATAGATATTTTAAAAAAACAAAATCAATCTGAAAAAGCGATTAAATTATGCCAAGAAAAATTGTTAGAATTAGAAAATATTCTTGGCACGGAATATGAAAATAATCCACGTGTGGCTCGTATATTAGTACTAATAGCAAGTATTCAGGAAGATAAAAATCCTCGAGAAGCTCATCAATATTATCAACAAGCTTTGGAAATATTTGAACATAATAAAAATGAAGAAAATTTTCGACTTAGCCTTTCTGCGATGATAAATTTTTATTGGAAATGTCGAATGTTTGATCGTGCATTACTTTGTCAAATGAAATTACTTGATCTTCAACGTTCAAAATCAACACCGAACAATCAAGGTGTAGGTTATTGTTTACGTGATTTAGCACGACTTTATCGTGCGATGAATAAATCAAGTGAAGCTTTAAAATATTTTGATCAAAGTTTAAGTATCTTGAAAACAAAATATGGATCAGAACATAGCGATGTGAAAAATATTCAAAAAGAAATTTTGGATTTAAAAGAAATACTTAAATCTTTATCATCGGACGCTGATGAAGATTATAATTATCGTCGTTGTTCGAATGCACATAAAGAATTGTTTACTATACCATATGAAGATCCGATTTCTCGATCATCAACATTAAGTTGTGGTAGAAGAAAAAAATCATCTGTAGCAGATTTAGCAAGTGCAGTGTGTGTTATTCTATAAATAAAGTCATATTTTTGTCTAGTAATTAATGCTAATGGGTTATAATCTTCCATAGTTGCATGCACACATTGCCATGCTAATTAAGCTTGACGTTGCAAAGTTCTTTCTGAATATTGCTTTACTGCATGGTAACGCATAAATCTTAACTCCGACAAATTCAAATAAATATACAAGTTGCGTTTATTGAATTATTAAAAATATAGAAAAATTCATTATAAATATAAAAATAAACCATGGAAGAGACAATTTTGCATTGCTACGATAGCAAACGTGCGTTACGTGATCAGGTTTAATACAAGGTGAATGGTGTCGACACATGGAATCACACATGAAACATCCATCATTAGTAATAGTTTCATAATTCATACATCCAACTCCACTACAACAATTACATTTACAAATGGTATTACCATCAGTACCACTGATACATGTACCAATAGCTTGGCCAATATTTGAAAAAACTGGACATAATGCTGGATATTGATTTTGACAGGCTTGTGTACAAGCTTCTGACGAACATTGAAATGCTAATGTTGTACCCACATTCATAGGCGAACAATACGAACCAGTTCTACAGCACATACATGAGCATGTATTACCTAACCAAAGACTAACGGTTGTTGTTGTTGTTGTTGTTGTTGCTGCTGCTGCTGTTGTCGTTAACGTTGTTGTCGTTGTTGTTGTTGTTGACGTTGACATTGAAGTTAAAGGACTCACACATGTACCTTGTGTTTGTCCAACTTGATTTGCTACACATATATGTGGATATTGATTGGCACATGCTATACTACATGATTCTACTGCGCATATGAATGCAATAGCATTACCAATATATGAAGTAGGACATGAAGGAGAACCCGTATTACAACAATCACATCGGCAGGTATATTGTGGAATTGGTGTTGGTTCACATTGTACTGAAATTACAGTCGTAGGTTGATTTCCTCGACATTGAGCATATGTGGCTCGACATTGTACAATACATCGCTCTAATGTACAATTATGTACGCAAATGGTTGGTAAAAGAGTAGGATTACATGATATACCAGAACAACACGAGCAAAAACATGGGCTTTGTTGTGCACGAACAATTGCCAATAAAAAACAAAACAGAAATAGATGCATCTTCTTCATATTCTACTGGCGGAAGCTATACCACTGAAGAAAAAATTGACATATTCATGACAAAAAGAAAAAGGAAGAAAAGAAAAACATAGCAGAAAGATGATTTCAAGGTTGAATTTATTTATCAACGTGTTATTTGACGATTAAGTAAAATATCACTTACATGTATATTAATAATCTCAAGAACGGTATATGAATAGGTTGTAACAATTTTACTATAAACCTAGGGCACAACTTAACCTTTGTATTTGTAAGATCAAAACTCAGTATCACATTTAATATGGTTTCAAGAGACATGATTTCCTCGAAATAGTTGCAAGCTTCAAAATTGAATAATAATAATCATAATAAATATTGATACAAATATGAATCGTTACTTCACAAATAAATGACATACGAAACTCGTCACATTAATCTTGCTAATATTAGTTGAAGTATTTTGATTTCTATACGGCTCACATTTCTAGAAAAACTTGTACATAAGAGACAGAACAGTTACTTTTATATTTTGCCTCCATCAATTGCAAATGAATTTATATGAAATATTACTTACAAATAATATTGACACATAGTATATTATGGAAGACTATTTTTTGTTATCTTATGTTTTAGTATCAAAATAGTTTTATTAAGAAAAACTTTTATTCGTTTAGAATCTTGATTATATTACCCTCAGTGAATTTTTTCCGTTGTCTAGAGTATGGATGTTAGCGAGTTTATCTATTATCTCCCTCACACCTCATATTTTCTAGATGAAAATATGAGATCTTTTTATTCGGAGCAGTTGTATCTCGTTCGGATGAGTGTACAGTGATAACACTATGTATCTGTATATTCCTTTGCTTCCCTAGTTCCTCCGATATATCTTAGATATGTGACACTACTAAATATTTCAACTTAATATCAGTGGTATTTTTTTTATAACTGCTGACTGTTTCAGGAAACTCATTTGTTTTCTTTATTCTTTTTTTAAGTAGCATTGAAAGTTAAGTATAATAAATCTTATGGAAAGAGTTCCATACACGGTTACCTCGAACAGAGCCATAACGTTCGAACAACTGAACTGCGGGAATCCCCTGACTGCCAAACTTGGCTTGAAACCCACCATCGCTCGTAACATCAAAACCGCCACAATTAGGATCATTACCACAGTGCTCAATAGCATCAACAATACTTAAAATACAGGCATTTGGATATAAGTTGTTTTTGTTGTTTCGACATAAATAAGTCTCATCATGTATGACACTTCGATCTCTCAGCACATACGTATATCGATGACATTTGTTTGCATCCAGCTTCGATTGAACATTAGCTAGAATATTATTTAAAATTGATATTTATGTATTTGATTATGTGCTTTATCGGTTCACAATATAATTCGAAAAGCAGCCAAATATTTTAAAAAGACACTTCACGTAGCTCACGGATGATAGAGATGGAACAGTCAGAAATCATACTCTCAAATCAACTAGAACTTGCAAACCACGCGTTTCCCTCACCATAAAGAAAAAATTAAGCTTTAATAAATTCACGATGATTCGTAGTTCATTTGCTGATTTTCAGCGGAAAATGATGAGTTCCATTACTTTCTACTGCGTCCCGAATTATCGAACCTATCAAATTGATCAATTGTATGGTTTTAGATTCGGTTGACATGTATTCGATAGATCTCAAGTTGAGTTTAATAGAATTATCAAATATTCAACTTGGTTTCATTGAGCGTACTGACTGATCGTACCAATTCAATAATTTTTAACATGAGATGTAGCACATCAGACTTCATAGTAATCAGTAATAGTAATCGTATGAATATATACTTACTATTGTTTGGATGTCGAAACTCAGAAGCTAGTAGACAACCGCTGGCTGCAAATAATATCAAAATACCAAACATGTCCGCGCAGTATATGCTTTATTTGTTTCAATTTTATGCAGGTAATAACGAGAGTCCTTTCTTCAAGCTGTTTGAATTGTTTCTACCTTTTAAAACTGATGTGGTACATATTTTTCTTGTTGTATACGCAACTTACTACCGAATTAAATACTAACGAGTCAAGCAGAAAATGCACAGAGTCACATTTAATATCAATCATCATTAGCATTGGTAATCGCTTCCACCTACAGAACCGACACAATATTTTTTACAAATGTAAAGAAAGAAAGTAAACGGTTCTGTGCGTGTACGGATATCCGTGTACGGTATGCAGTACAGACATCTATGAGAATATTAGTGTTAGCAATGGTCTTCTATTTCAAATAAAAGTTTTAGATTATGATTATTTAGAAATATAGTTATGTGTACTAACAGTAACGGTTTTCGCTTATGTGAAACTTTTACTAGAAAACAGCAGATTAAGATGAAAATGTTTATTCGTAACTTTAAATGAATAGTCTGATAAAGAAAAGTAGAAAGAGCAAAAAATGAGCTGTCTGAATTATGCGGAAACCTATAAAAGTAACAGTTATTTTTGGTTCCTTGGTTATTGAGAAGGAAATTCTAATTTTTTTACCGCATTAACATGAAAGTATAGCAAAAAGAGGTGTCGCGCTTATATTGTCAGCAATTAAGCGCTAAGATCCCATGTCACCCCGTGCGTTTTGGTGCGCGTAGAAACGTCACGTACGTACGCGCATGGTGACGCACGTATCGGTGCCCATACCCGTACGCGCACCGAGCGTTACGTTTCTACGCGTGCCAAGTGCGCACAACGTTACGTGCGCGCACCAAAACGCATGGAGTGACATGGGATATCAAAATTCGATGACTTCTTCACTTGTTTCAAGATAATAGACATACTATTGAGCACAATTTCTATCGACTTTCCTTTAATTTTAAGAAATAAGAAACAATTTTCGCCATTTATTTTGAATTATAATGATACAACACATATATTTTAACTCTGACTTGTAATTACGAATGTCTCGGAAGAAAAGCGCACACGATTGTAGAGTATGGTCTGGGTGTGGGCGTTTGTCGCTCCTTTAACTACACCCCCCTCTCCACCTATACTACCACACAGACGCTCACACTCACCCATTTCCATTTTCTCGTATTCATCAATGTATTGATTGAGAACAGAATCGACACAAACGAATTCGCGTATGAACATGAAAAACCCTTCATTTCAGCCTACAATAGGTACATTTTTTTTGCTTCCACTTTTCAAAAGCAATTCTGGGCTGTGCTGCCCAAAAACAAAATTATAAAGATATAACTGCAGTATCTGGGAACAAATCCTGTAGACATTTTATTTGGTTTATCAATTAGCAACAGAGACCCAAGTAGGCAACTAGGTTGATCTACAGTGATCGCAAACCACGGCTTTTACTTCGGGTGCGTGATAGGCAGACCATCTAGTCTGTCTAATTTTTTTTCTATATATAACTTCTATCGGTTACACCGTATCTATGTCTGTAATATAGATTCAGTTGAATTAATTTTCAAGAAGGGTATTTAAATTTGAGAAACTAAATAAATTTAAACTTAAGTTTGACCAAAAAGGGTAATAATGTTGACAGTAGAAAATGACGACAAGGTGTGAATAAGAGTAAGAAAGTTCATTTCGCGGTCAATAAATTATCATTTTAAGGAAATTTTCGTTCTTTTTCATTTCTGTTTTTTCAATAATAAACTTTCGATTGGAATTTGTTGTTTGGTTCATCAATTTTCAGAATGAAAAAATATGGAGTGTGGGTGTGAATCTCAGAGTTCTTGCCGTCAGCTTTTATGTGAAGAGAAGATCCATATCTGCTGCCACGCCCGGCCTGCACCCATGCTCACACCCAAAACCTGCTGCTCCAAAATTTGTCAAAATTTCACAGCCCGATAGAAGTTTGCCATAACAGACTGTTCATAGAATCGTTAAAAAACGACCTTATAACCCTTCTCTGTAACGATAATCTTTTCAACTTTTTTTTGCGTTTTTGTCAAAACCAGTGTTTCGTGAGAAGCGCCGAATTGTGGCACGTGGAACCTCCCTTTAACTTCGTCCGATCGAGCTGAGATTTTTATCACAAATATTTTGAAGTATCCTCCAGAGGCAGAATCGGCCATTTTAATTTTTGATGCTCCCATCCGGATTTAGAGGGTTCTCAAGGCCAGAAAACCGGTTTTTCAGAGAAGCGTTTGATATTTTTTTGTGAAAAAAGAAAATGAGATTTTCCAAGAAGCTCAAAACTACCTCTGAGATATAGTCGTAGGTATTTTCAAAAACATTTTTAGTCCAATCGGACAAAGTTTGGTGAGACTCTACCATGGCAAGAGTAAGACTTGTGGAAAACTAGAGTTTTCCAAAAAACCATGAAAACGGCTTCTGAAAATTGTGTCCAGGAATATGTGCCTCTTCATTTTAGGTGATCTATCTGCGAGAACAATTTTTAATCCGATCGGACTTACCATCTTGGAGATCTGAACATTGTGAAAAAAGAGCGGGGCGGGGGGGGGGTACCCTTAAAGTTTCTTCAAATGATAGGAGAAAAATCTTGAGAGAAAAAAGCTTTTTTTTGCAAGTTTTTTTTGCAAATAAATGTGTATTCGCCCTACGTAGCTCGGGTATTGATTTATCATTAGCAGTTTTCAGACAACTTTCTAGTTGGTTCCTCGCAACGGAACCTATTGCTGGAAGACGCCGAAATCGTTTTTTTGTCGATGACTAATTTCATTCATCGATTCTCTGCCCAGAATATGTAGGAATTCATGAGGAATCGACCGTTTGTTTCGGCATCTGGAACCGTGGGCTGGAACACGTCGGAAGATTCTGACCGAAACAGAGAGGACATAGACAGGTGAATAAGTATCATGGAAAAGATATATATAGTAACGCAATCACTCTTGGTTGAAGAATAAAGCATACAGGTTTTGAACAACAGCAAAATATGATAAAACGAAATGAAAAATTGCTTTAGTAATGTATAGATAGGAAGAAGAACAATACTTCTAAGAAGAAGATATCGATTTTGTTCTGAATTAGGCATAATAGTTAGGAGAAATCAAAAAATCAGCTAGGATGACAAGTTGATCTTTAGTAAACTTTTCACGGTGTTCTTGCCATGAATCATGATGAGTACGACGAAATTCTGACAGAGTATTCTTGATTGATTTCTAAAACGAAAGATGGAATTTTATTTAACTCCACAAAATCTACCTACTTGAATAAGATTTGGATCCTGTGAATGCTCGCACAGAAGCATCAAAACATCAGGAACATGAATTGAAATATCGTATGGACTCGAAAGAACCATCGCACACAGGCCAAGAACACCTACTCGAAGCAAAATACGACTGTCAAATCATCTATAATACAAATACTTACCACCGTGTCGTTTGATAATATATTCAGCTGATGTCACTTTTTTGCCATCGACTTTGATGAAATAGTTCGTTTTTCTCATCAGGCGAAAATAGTTCTGTTAATCAAACAATGTTTGTCAAAAAACTCAAGATAACAATTTTTACCAGATCCTCCTTGACGATTTCAATAAAGCCACATTGATAGAAGCCAGCTAGAGTAACTGAAGCGATTGTTCGCACTTCGAACTGTTCATCGAAGAGACATTTGAGAATAAGTTCACGTATGCGCGATGCAAAAGGACGAGCATTAAATAGGTTAAAAAAGACCATATGCTGAGCAAATTCAATCGCAGCACAGCGTGCATGCCACTTAGAATTTGTGCACACCTACATATTGCAGTGAACAAAACTGGTTTATAGAATCTAGTCCTGTTTATTTTCTGTATGTATGTACATACATATTCTATTTGTTCGATGAGTGCTTCTATAAAAGAAACATGCAAGTAAGAAGCAGCAATACACATTCGACTGAGTGTTAACCGCTCTCGAATGCTTTGATCATTGGCTACAATACTTTCAATATTGCAGAGCTAATCAAAACAAATGCATAGAAAAAATGTTTTCTACTAAAAGCATAAAAACTATATTAATATATACATCAGGAAATAGCCGAATGATTCCATGTTTTATTGGTTGTAGAGATCTGCTAGCTATTTCTATGCAGAGTTCAATTACTAAACAAGACATGAAATAAGTTGATTTCAATAGTAGCACATATTGTTGTTACTTGTTTCGATAAAGTTCAGCGCTTGACGAGCGTTGGGATCGATTTCCATACTTTCACCAGAAATATTGGCTGTAAAGAACAAATTTTCAGGAGTCGAAGTCAAAGAAAAATCTACCGAGAGGCGTCCTTTCACAAATGTCTATCGCTTGTTGTAATCGTTCATGTATGCCATTGGAAAAAAGATCGACACTGGGATGGCGTTTTGATTGACCATTGGGCAACGTTATATCGTGACTGAGTGATATGCCGAGAATACTATGATATAAAGAGAAAGATTTCTTGGCTAAAATGTTGAAATTGATCTCTTACGAAGCAATGTATTCTCGTACGGATTTGTATGGATGTGCCAACATGTCTTTGGCATGATCATTGATAGCATGCCAAACTGCGGGGATGCGCCATTCGAAATTCTCCAGTTTTTGAACTAGATGCCAGCGAGATGTTTCAATTAACGTGTTTGTTGTTGAAGGAGTGTTTATCAAAGAATGCATAAATTCAATAACACGATACATTCGTCTAGGATCTACATCTGCCTATTGAACAAAAGAACTAATTCGTAACATATGTTATTTATATGCTCAGACTGACCATAATAAGCCAGAAACCGTAACACCAGTCAAGAACTGCTTCTGAACTGAGATTCTTACAGGCTTCGTTGAGAAATGGTGTCAGTTTGGACCAGAGTTCATCAAGCTATACGCACATCATATAAATAGACTGGAATCCTTACAGAGTCACTCACCATTTCTAGTGTCCAATATTTCGATCCACGAATCATACCAGCAACAATTTCGGCGGCCACTCGTTGACTTGCTTCTTGTTTCTCTTTTATGTCTACACGAATAAGTGCATTCAATTGTTCCATAAATATTTCGACAAAGACCGAGCCAAAGTTTCGAAAGAGACCCTAGAAAAGTTTTACATTGACAGTTTTCCTTCGAAAATGCATGTAAATATCTTTGCTTTCTTTCATATGCATTATCTACCCTTAAACATTCGATATCGAATAGAATCGAAACTGTTGTCTGTCTCTTTATCTAACACCATAAATTGAACGAATTGTGCAACGAATTTTTTGTCATTAAATCGATCGTACAAGATTGCTACTTGTTCTGGCATATTCTCTCGCGTGTATCGCTCTCGTTTATTAAGTGGATATTTGATGATTTTCGGCCATTTATAATACCCATGAAAACTCTTATCTAAAAAACAGGTTTGTTCCCATTCAGTTTGTGTTTTTGGTGGCTTATAATCATTGATTATTATCCATAAATTATCATCACGATCACCAGGATGGCATTCATTGTTGATTAGCCGATGAAGAATCTCCTCAAGCGTTTTTTCGGCATAAATTCGAGGTGGTTTTTGCAAACGACATAGGCTGGAAATACACTGAGAAGTTGCCTGAACATATGCACGAGATAACTTCTGTCAGATAAATGTTACCAACTAACCTTTCGTAATTCACTATTGTCATGAACGAGTAAATCGGTAGATGTTCGAACACATGACGATGGAATAGGTACACACCTTTGAAGAAGAAGGCAGATAAAAGTGATCGTTCTCTCTTGTTGTCGCCAGGCTCTAAATATTCGACAAATTAAGAATATTTTCTTTTCAACAGTAATACTTACAGTCGATCGTCATTCAATAGTGAATTGAGCGTTTTCATGAGATTCTTGTACGATTGAATGTTTTGTTGATTGCGTTCTTCTCGGATTTTATCACACGTTTCCATTTCTTTGGGTTCTAACGGACGCCAGAGAGCTGCTGCTGCACGTATTGATGTGTCGTTTGTATCCTCGATGATTGCTGGTGTATTAAACAGTTTGCTAATTCTTTTCACAATTTGATCGATCAAATTTTGTGTGCTGGTTTTGGTGGCATGCATCGTTCGTGCGATTGATGGCCACAATTTTTCATGCAGTCGCCATGAATGTATTGTAGGTAAAAAGATGGAATCGTTACCGAGTAGAATATATAAACAGCCCTAATCAGTGAAATGCACCGATGATTTGAAAGAAACAACAGAGAACAAACTTTGATTTCGTCATGATCAGCTTCACCCTGTGCATTAAGGAGTTCCAGAATACGATAGACAACCACTGTATAGGAAAATAAATAGCGTTGTAACATGTTAAACAGAGAGACTCCTTGCATTGTGTCGAACCTAAAGTTTAATGTCTTTAATTGCACGTGCCTTTCTGAAGCTTTACTTACTTCACTGTACCGATTAATAGATAGTGAGAGTAGCTTGAGTATCACTTGTTTATCGATTTCCGTCAATGATTGATAATTAGCAGATGAAATCAACTGTGAAAATAATAACCATTATCACAATACAATTCTTTTTTTCTAGTTACTTCTATTTGCGTTGCTAGACATTTGATTATCACAAAACGAGGATGATGTCGTTTGCCACTGAGTTTATTTTTAAATGAGTATTTCAGTGAAACAAAATCATTGTATAATTTATAAAAATCACTCGATAAGAAACCATAGTAGCTCGATGAGTATGAATAGATCTTAAATTAGTCACACATAATTAAAAATTCAGAAATCTGACAAATACCCTCAGAGCTTTTGAAATTGATGATACATCGTTCGAATGATTGTTGACTAGATCATCTAGTAGATCGATTAAAGTCAATGTGCATGCTTATTTCTTTATAAAAGAACGAACCGAGTAACTGCCCGATATCGATAACCAAACGCATTCGCAGATTTTCTTTGAACTCTATAGTGGGATTGAACTTTAAATTATTAACAAATTGAATTTTGATTTACTCACTTGGTTCTTTGGCATAGAGTGAATATTGAGCCTTACATTTGAATTTAAAAGGAGCGACTGATAGTTCACTATCAAAAATAAAAATCTTTTCTGATTATCAGCTTCTTTTTCAAGGACTACGCACAGATCTAATACTTCTTCACTGTCGATACATGACACCATCCGCAAGAATCCAATACTTATGAATTGTATAAGTGTAAGAGATCGAAGTCGTTCATCGTTGGACATACCTGAGCTTTTGTCATTCAACAATGTCAGTTCCTGATAGATAAATGTCTCAATAAATTCACATGCAAAATCCACTTCTTCTGCACTTGGCATATGAAATTGAGGCTGCAGTTTGTCAAATTCCGCATGTTGACCCCATACCTGAACTGATTGTTACTTTCTCTTTTTGAAAACAAAAAAGACTTACTCGAATAGGCAAAAAGTCACTAAATGGTCCATCGATGTTTTCCACTGTCAACCTATAATCGATTGGATAGACATACGAAAAGGATTTGAGCAAGTTTTTTGCTGCATTGGCAATAGCTTCATATGATTTCTTATGAATGATATGAATACATCGATGAAAGACGGATGAAATCATCGATTTGTAGACGAGCAAAGTATCGCCACGAGCTTGGAGAAGTTTGGAGAAGAGAATTAAACACCAGGTGAGCTCCATATCACCCTTGTGATCTGTAAGTATGGTTGCTTCGGAATCATGCATTATTTTTTCAATGCGTTCGCATGTTTGTGGCATGATATACTTGAGTGTTTCAATTGGATTAGCCTCGAGAATCGGCTGAACCAGATCAGTGAGTAATTTGCTAACTCTTGGTGTAAATGATGAAGCGGCAAGAAAGTTTATGATCTTTTCTTGAACCACCTAGCCATAAAAAAATAGATCATCACAATGTTCTCGTTTCGCAGTTATGTATTTTATTTACTTGAAAGATTTTACTACTGCACTGTTCAATGATGCCGGGGATCACTGGTGTGAGTTCTATCTCAGTATTGACATCGTTCGCAGTTGTCGCTACCCAACCATCGAACACTTCAGTCGAGAGACTATCGACCATTTGAAATGTTCGATTAAGAAATTCAATGATGAAATCTTCGAATTGGGCCGTCAATAAGCACACTTCTTTTTCGACCTGTGCGACAATACTTTACTCGAAGAAACGAATTATAAATCTGTCCTACCTCAGTGAGATCGTTTGGAATATTGATTGCTGATGAGCAATCGACACAAGTAATGAGCATGAGAATGGCTTTTAGAAATTGAAAAGTCTTGCTTGTCTTATCGAAATCATTTGAATCAATACCAGACAAAACAGATATCAGCAAGGGTAAGACATATGTTTGACCCTGAGGAAAATTCAGTGTTTGTTGAACGATTTGGCGTGTGATGCCTGTCAGACAACTCAAACTCGATGTGAAACGATGTGGCTCATTTATGCTGTTGACGGATGAAAAGAGTCTAGAGACGACAAAGAAAACATTCGACCAATTGAATAAATAAAAAAGACAGACTGTTCGACAATAGCTGGCACGACCAGTTCTGGTCGAAGCATGGCCAGATGTCGAAACGCCTTTGCTGCATCTTCCTGATAAGTTTTGTTGAAAATGGAAATGAAGACATATTCTTCGGCACAGTTCACAAAATCAGTGATGTCCTGTTCCGTTAATCGATACGATTGAAGTGGCTTAAATTGCCAAATGCGATCTGCTTTGCTTTCTCTAAAATGTATGGGGTAATCAATTTAAACCGAGTAGAGTTCGAAATTACAGATGGACTCGATCGATAAATGATTCAGTTAATTCGGCAAGAAACTGAACGATATCATGTTGGAAATCACCCGTGTTTGATGGATAATAAAAGCTTTTGATAGCCGTAAATAAATTTCGTAGGTACTGAAGACACGAGCTTCCATTACTCATCATCGCTACGATCAATGATGCAACAGTAGATATTGGATAAGTGTCTTTCTTTTGCGCGGCTATTGCACGACTGCCCACTGGAAGGGATAAACTTTTCAAGAAACGTGTAAAAATCTCAATGTGAAAAAAATGAGATTATTAGGCTGAATCTGTGCGAAATAAGTCATACTCGTGAAAGCCAAGGTTCCCAATCGATGTATCCCATATTATACCAGCCGACAAAACAAAAAATACGGATCATATTCTAAAAATCTCCGTAAGTATCGATAAACGCAATCAGTGAATATGCTTACATATTCCCAATCTGGATTACTACAAACACTCCCAAATGCCGAGAAATTCTGGCAACCACAATCTAAACATCAATCGATTTATTACTGTCAAAAAATCCAGAAATGCAAAAGCTCACTTGAATCCTTGATTATGCAAATTAGGCGGTAAATTAACTGGTAGGAACCAATCGAAAAAATACATTGCATCGCCGAAAGCCGAATCGAATGGACAAAGCCATGGACGAAATTCATCTAAGATTTCCTGAGTAGCCGTTGCCGAAAAGTAGAAACGACAACAGCGTATGCAATTGAAAAACGACTGTTCGATGCCACTAAAGAAACAAGAGACAACAGTAGAAATTAATTTTTATCGATCGAGTACCACTCAATCTGGCATTACTACTAATGAATAGTCTTGATCGTGATGGAAACGAATAAGTTTAGTCCGCTGATATAATAATCGCCAATCGATGATCAATTCGTCTCGAGTGATCAGATGGATTTTCCTAGAAGATGAATTAACAACGATTTCTTTAGAAATTTTCTCCACTATGCTAATGTTGACAAGCAAAGAAAACAACAATACGAACTTCAAGAGTACTTCGAGTAGATTGAAACATATGCGGACATCTATTAAACTTAAGTTGTCAGCGGAAAGTATGGAAAGATAAAAATCGATCAATTTGAGATGATCGGATTTAGTAAAATGGTAGCCGTAAAGTGAGATGAATTGTTGCAATTTGGAAGACCAAACTGAAAAACCTGGTCGTATTTCACGCAGTTGAATAATACGTGAGAGGTGCATACGAATCTCGTCGAATTCTGCATAAGCTTGACGTTGAATTGAATCGTAGAAGGGCAGGTATCTGTTATAAACATTTGGTTTTTGAAGAGTGCTATCGTCCATTTCTTTCTTTACCATGAATCATAAAAATGTGTAATAAGCAAAAATCACAAGTCACATTTATAGAAGAAAAGTGGAGCAAACCAAGAGACCAATGCTGTGGGAGGATGGTGGGGATTTTCCCACAAACTTGCTTTCTACGTGCAAGCCTTCGATATATATCTTATTCGCCAAAATTGGCGCGTGATTTTCCCTACAAAAAGATCTGGCTGGATCCACTAAGAGCTCTGAAATCTAGTTCTATTTGAAAGATAAAATTTTGTTAAATTTCTGTATTCAGATTCCTAGAGAAAAAGACAAAGGACGTGATTAAAAACAAGTCACGACAAAAAGAGATTATTCATCAAATTAAAATTAACTTAAAAGATACAACTAATAAAGACTTTTTCATTGAGGTCAATCATTTATTGACTCATGAAAACTAATATATTTTTTTGACGTAAAAATACGTCCTATTATCAACGTAGGTTTCTATTAACTATCATTGCTTTTTAGCACGTTTTATTTCATCCAAAAAAAATGACTGTTGCCAAATCAAAGAAATTTGTCAACTTCAAAATTTAAAAGGAAAATTCAATCCTATGCTTCTTAAATGCATGAAATTAATCAGCAGTGTCCAAGTTCCCAGGAGTCGAGATTTCGTTGGAACTTGGGAACCCAAAAATGAATGAACAGGGATAAGTGATGATAAACCAAAGCATAGCAACTTTATGAGGGATTCCAAGGAACTCAGGGAATTCTGGGAGGTCACAAATATGAAGGAAATCAGAGCCTGAACTCAATCCGTTCGGTTTGGACTATCAATATACCGAGTACTATACTTAATTGGCATGATACCTAATCGCGATAATGAACATAATTGAGTGAGGGCAAATTCATTGACATAATAGATACATGAGGCCATGGTGGTGAAATGCGGAAATTTTCTGTTCGCTTAAGAATGAGCTGCGACATTTTAGAGTGATTGTTTATTATGCTTTGATAAATTTATACGTTGAATAAAAGTGGAATTTGGGAGCTTCGGATCGTTCGGCTTCGGCGATAGTGGGATATAGGAGAATCCTGATTGATGCTATCATTCAGTTTTCAAGTGACGAAAATATTCTATCTATTAAACGTTTCTGGGTGCTTATATGAGTAGATAAATAGGTAAATCAGGTTATCTCTCTATCCAGACAGTAATTGATAGCGGGCAATATCTAAATATATATCTGATTGTTTAGCTATTCCTCTAATGGTGTTGCAACTGTTGATCATATTTACATTTACAGAGGAACACACAAATCTAGTTATGACAGTCGGTGTCGCGAAAGGACTGACAGCCTTAGCGGGACTCATCGTACAACATCATAACTGAGGGTGTCGCGGCAGGATTGACAGCATCAGTGGGATTCATAATAGAACAAATTGACAGTGACGTTCAATTTGCCGTATTTAAGTTTAGTATCCATGTGCTTGAGGCAAACTAAATTTGGTGGAAAGTTGTGAAACCTATTGAATCGGTTAGTGATAATCAGAGAAAAGGCGCGGGGAATCTCTTGTACTGCAAAGTTGTCAAGTATGTAGGAAATGATGTTATTATTACTGTGTCAAAGATATGGTTGTTCTATAACACACCAAGTTTGGTGTGGGTGAATCAGTTAGAATAGCAACATCCACACCTACACTCACATCCCACCCCACCCCAAGAAAATTTTAATCTTCTAGACCCGATGGGGAAAAGCGTATTTCTGTATTTCTGAGTATTTCTATGGATTTCTATGGATTTCAATGGATTTCGATGAATTTCTGGATTTCTGAAATACGCGGAAATGCGTATTTCTAGGTATTTCAAAAATCCAGAAATACCTCGAAATACATTGAAATACTCGGAAATATTGAGAAATACAGAAATACCCTTTTCCCCACTTGTCTACACCACATCATATCTCTTAACTTGTGCAAAGTATACTAAATGTTTGCACGATAACATACCTGATAAAGCATGCATCATGCAGTCAGAATTTCATCGATAACGTCAGTGAAAGAACACAATGCGTTTTCGCACGTGAATCTTTTCTTTAAAGAAAAATGTTTTCGTTTCACGTGCTTTCAGCTCAAAATTGATGCTATCGACCGGTCAGGAAACCGTTGCTTTCCTAGACTTTCTTGGAATCCCTGAGTTCGTTGGAGTCACAGAGTTCCTTGGTTTCCCTGAGTTTCTTGAATTCCCTGAGATGCTTCACGTGTTTTGGTTTCACATAGCGTGTTATCGCTTGTTTATTTTTGAGTTCTCAATTCCCGAAGAGTTCCCGACTTCTGGGAACTTGGCCACGTCTCTTAGAAGAGAACAATGATTAAAAAAAACTAAAAGTGCAAACAAATGACGCTCTAAACATAAGGGTATATTAATCGTAGCTTTCTAACAAAACATCACCTGAAAAGTTCTCAAAATGCACAAAAACTGCAACCGGAAACCAAATTGGCTAGATATGTCTCAGATGACCAGTAGTTTTGGGGTTTTCCAAATGCCTGGTTTTGTAGCTAGCCAAAAGGACTATCGAAAGGTAAAAACCCGAACTCGATAGCTATTAATATTAGTGATTTATTAGGAAAATACTGATGCCTGTATCTATCACCATATGATGGGGAATTTGAATTTGCGGCAAAATCGATTTCATTAAAATCATCTCTATTTGTGACAAAATAAAAACTGTACTAGTATACCGCTATACTATACGATGGGGTACCTAGTGTGGGTGTATGNGAAGTACACATAACACTCGGATTTAAATCCGAGGTTTTCGCATTTATTTTTACTAAAGCTGGATAAATGAATTTATCTATAGTGTACAGCAATTATCAGTTTTTAAGGCAAACTTCCTAATAACATCATAAGTTCCTTAAAGAAATTTGAAAATTGTACAAACTTTTCCGTTGGAATCGGTTCGACTCGGTTAAATGCTAATTCGGTTCGATTCGGCTCGGTTAAAAATTTTTAAAAATAAAAATCGGTTCAGCTCGGTTCGATTAGCATTTTTTTTGGCTCGGTTTGGTTCGGTTTAAAAGAATCCTTAACCGATCGCATCTCTGGTTCATAGGGCAGAAAGTGGAGTTTATCCAAGAAATACTCACTTTTTCCCATTGAAATTCTAATGCATTAAAACCATTATCACTCTGAATTCGATTTGAGACCTGTGTTAGATCTGAAACCTTTTTATTCGGTACAGACGTTCATTTTCAACTGCACGGTATCATTTTAGATGGGATACGCACGTAAAGCATTATGAGTTGGCGACCACTGGGGTGTGAATATGTATATATGGGTATGAGTACGGTGAGATGTGCGGTCACAATCGATTATTTACCATACTTTCCTACTCATTTCAAATTTTGGGGGCATTGCTTTTTCATTCCCATGACGAAACGTTCTCACCCACGCCGACACTCAGAAATATATTCTCATACAGGTATCCACCCGACTCATCATTTTTTGTCTGGTGACCTCATCTAAAATGATACACTGTGCGGTAGAAAATGAAATTCTATATCGAATAAAGACAGTTTCAAATCCAACACAGGTCTCAAAGTGAATTCGGACTGAAAATAGTGTTTATGCATTGTCCGTTCAATTGGGAGAGTGTGCATTTCTTGAATAAACTCCATTTTGACGGTGTGGGTGTGGTTCTAGTACGGAGCATTGGCTTTGTTCAGAACAGTATTCTCATCCAATACCCTGTGATTGTTGGTATAATTGATTCTGTTGCAGTTGCTTACACTGTACTTACGTTAGGGGTAGATTTGTCGATGTTGAAGTCTTTTCTATATTGAGACTCAGGTACAACCACACAGAACAATATAAAGTTGTGTATGAATCATCGCTTCTCGTTTGATAACTGCGCTATTTAATGTCGAAAATTTATCCAATATATTTCTAGATACGCTATCTCATTTCTAATGTAGACTTTTTATCAATATAAACGCATACTTTTTATTAGTTTTGAATATCACGCTCCATATTTTTAGTACTGATATATTCTTTTGCAAAAAACACGTAAACGCATTAAGTTAGGCGTTATTCATATCAAAGCTACTTTGCTCTTATTAATAACATCTGCTCTGGCATACGCAAATACAAACGATACAATAATAATTAATGTACCTGAAGGCAAGTCGATAACCAGATGGAACGAGTGTTCGCCGATTGTCATGCAATCCTACTACAAAAAATTTCAACTTGGTATGCTTTCTCTCGCTTCTCCATCTCTTACTTACTTGAAAATTTCCGGCTTGAGCTTTGCATTCCATCATGCTACCCCACTCGTCTATCGTCTTTCATTTGAAGGTCAATGTCGTATACCAGAAAGCGGTTCAGTTTTTCTAATTGAGTTCATATACGATGATCATCTACTTCTTAACGGCGATCAACTCGTACTCAACGATGGTCGTAATTGGATGTACCAAACTCCAAGCCATTGGCACAAACCATCGATGGGTGCATATCATGAAATTTGTATACACTCTGATATAGTTCAATTGCCGAGTGGAACCCATATAGTTGATGCAGGCATTCAACTATTAGCGCCATTTCCAAATACTGCTATTATACTTAGTGCAGGAAAATTGATAGTCGAACTGATACAATATAGTTCAAACGTCAATCATGGCTTGCCAATGCTTCCACTTGGGTCAATGATTGGATAATAAGGATACAATCAATTCGTCATTTTTTGAAACCTAACCAAACCGAGCAAAAATGATTAAAAAAACTGAACTGAATAAGAAGAGTTCTTCACACTTAATTAAATCGAATTTTTCACATGAGATATATTTTTTCACCTGGATTATTTAAAAGAAAATTTTAGTAAAAAAAAACAAAACTTGAAAACGAGATGATGAACTAATCAAATATTTGATTCAGAGTATGATTTAGTAATTATGAAAGTCTTTTTGCTAAATACATTTTGTATTGTTGTTCACATCCAATTCGTTAATGTCCATCAACCGGCATGTATCCTGATGCGGGTGCTATTACAGGAAAAAAATAAAAAATAAGTATAATAAATCAATAATTAATACTTACTCCACATCCCAAATGCAGCATTATTAAGACGATCTTCTCGAACTTTATTTAACAATAAAATCATAACTGGTTTTAATATCAAATAACCTATAGCAAAACTAGAACATTCAAAAGATAATATTGAATTGAAAGTTCTTTATACAAAAATTCACTTACACAGCACTAATAACAAAATATACATAATGAACACCAACAGAGTAAGCTAAAAAAGCAATAAAATGAATTTAAGAAAAATGCTACAGATGATTATCATACATTGGTTTCCAATTTGAAAATACATTCCAATCGCTATTGAATCCAAAATGATCGAAAAAAATTTAATTAAGATTAGCTAAACAACAGATAATAAATATTTATAATCGAAACAAAAAGAACTAACAAGTTCAACTTGAATAACACTTTCCCGATGTACTATAGCCCAAAGGCCAAGTGCTAAAATAGTAACTTGATTGAAGAGATATGATTTAGGTAGCCATTCAGCCATAAGTACCCTAATCAAAGAAATTTATTTTTCTTTCGATTGAAAACGTTTACATTTGATAATGATAAAAATAAAATTATACTTACATGCTGATGCAAAAAAAATGGATCGAAACACTGATCTTAAATGTGTCAATAGAATTTTATTGAACTTGACATAAAAATGATATATTCTTACTCGAAGTAGTGTGTCGCGATTGATTGCCATTTTTTCAATTAATAGATTTTTCTTCGAAATTCGTAAATAGTAAGTAAGATGTCAACTAATGAAGAAATCATATCATCGATCGATCAATCGCAACAATTCAGTTTCGAATAGGTAAGATGTTTGACCAATCCATGAATAGGATGTCGCTTTATCCATTCTCATGAGTCATACAAAATTCGACAGTCTTATTCAAAAATGCTACTTCGTCGACTACTTGCTGTTCCTAAACCTTTAAATTCTCGTTTACGTCGATCTCTATCCGTCAGTTCCATCATTCAACCTATTCGACTGATAAAATATACATTTGGTACAACAATATTGACCGGTCTTGGTTTTATATCTTACGCTGTGTATGAATCGGGTCCTGAATGGGAAAAATTTCGTCGAACCAGTTATTTCTGGTCTCATATGATTCCAGTTTATCTTCATTATCGATATCAACAAATGTATTTTCAATTGATTCCAACTAAAACTCCTGCAGAAGAACAGCAAGCTTGGCTATCTCTACATAATAAATATTGTGATTATGTAATGAATGTTGTACTTCATCAGCGAGGTGTTTATATAAAATTAGGACAAATAGCATCGACTCGACCAGATATTATACCGAAAACTTATCTGAAAAAATTTGCTCAATTGCAAGTAAAATAATGAAATTTATTTGAGAAATGTTTTTCAATCAGCTAATTTTGTTTACGTTCATAGGATGGTGTACCAGCACAACCTGGTGAATATGCTCGACAAATGATTGAACAAGCATTTGGCAAACCATTGGAAGAAATTTTTTCAGAATTCAATCCAGTAGCTGTTGGTGCAGCAACTATTGGGCAAGCACATGAAGCTCGTTTGAAAGGATCCAATCAATCGGTTATCGTTAAAATACAGTATCCTGAAGTACGACGATTGTTTGGATTGGATTTTTCAACATTAAAACGATTTATTAAATTAGCACAACCAGAACATTTACCGTTGTTTGATGAATTTGAAAAAGGTTTTCAGATTGAATTCGATTTTAGACGAGAAGCAAGAGCATTAGATATAATTGGTATGATTTTTGTTTTTAAATCGAATTCAAACATGCGTGCTGATTTAGAGAAGAATTTTTCTATTTTTTTTTGTTTTCTGTAGGTCGTAATATTATGCCACTTTATCCTAATATTGTTATTCCTCGTCCTATTCCTGGTATGGCAACTGAATTTGTGTTAGTGATGGAAAAATTAGAAGGCACAAAATTAGTCGATGCACTCAAACTTGAACAAGCAAAAATGGCTGCTGCACAAGGAAAAACTTTAGAAGAGTTCGAACAAGAAATGATGACTAAATATGTATCCGGTGAACTTTATCGTGAAGCAAAAAAGAAATATACACCATCAGCTTTAATTGTTAATATATATGCATCATTAATACGTACAATAAATCAAACAAAAAATTTATGCATTCTTCTCTACAATCATTCGATTGTACCGATAATGAAACGAGCACCCATGGATTATATTGAACAACGTGTTTTTATAAATCCACATGAAATCATTGATCTATTGAATGACGTTCATGCACATGAAATATTAATCGATGGTATATTTAATGGTGATCCACATCCAGGAAATATATTTTTACTAAAAAATGGAAAAATTGGTAAGAGAAACTATTTTGAATAGAAGAATGCGTTGTATTCATTTTTTTCTAGGTTTAATTGATTTCGGACAAGTATCAGAATTATCTCTATCGCAACGTCTCAAATTAGCTAAATTAATTGTTTTACTTGCTGAAGGTACGAAAGAAGAACTCATTCAACATTACATTGCCATGGGTGCACGTACACGTAATATGAATCCATATGTTATAGAAAAATTAGCGCGACTCGGATTCGATCGTGATGATCAGGAAATATGTGAAGGAAAAAATGCACAATTATTTTTTGAAAGTTTAGGAAAATTAGATGAAATTATTCAATTACCTGAAGGATATTTAATGGCAGCAAGAGTTGGACTATTATTAAGAGGTTTAGGTACTTGGATACAATTACCTCATTCGACAGCACAAAAATGGCTACCCATTGCAAAACAATTATTAGAGAAATATAAAGATGTGAACGAATCATTATTAAATGAATCTGTTTGAGTGACTAGTTATGAATAGGAAATGCAATTAGGTGATTTCTTTTTATATAATTATTATTATTGTTGTTTGTTTTGGATACACATCAAACAGATGATATAGAAAGGATTGTATTTTATTTTTTTACAATAAACTATAACGAATGATTTATTTTGGTAATAATTCGCTTTAGTAAAACTATCTATTATTTTTATTATAAATAAAAAAATTTGGATTATTATGTAAAACAAACAAACTACACTAATAAAAGATCTTCGGAAGTTTACGTTTAATATATGACTAGATTTAAAATATTCAATTAACAAATCTGAAATTGAGGATTGATGTAAATTTTTTGTTCGGTTGCATATTGTTGGAGGCATTCATGAAATGAAACATGTTCACATTTGTTATCGTTCCACCAAGTTCCATATTGATGTTTTCCTTCATAGGAACAATGATCATTTAAATATTTTGCATTATATAAAGCAGCACCACCAAATGCTGATTCAACTTCTATCAATGAAACATTACGTGGAATTGGTTCTTGGTGAATTTTAACTAAATGTTTCGTTAAATATGATCGATCGATAAAGAACCAGGTTAGTTTATTAATACGTTGCCAACAATCGAATGGTAATATTGATTTAATACGAAGTGCCCATATGTCATAATATTCTGATCGTTGTGTTGCTGTCATAGCAATCCATGAAGAACTTGGATAGATAAAATTCGAAACAAAATCTTTCACGTCAAACAAAGACGACGCGCCTACATCGACATCAAGTACAAAATAATAAGCAAACGATGGTAATTCTTCACGGGCTTGTTGAAGAAGACTGTTACGACATGAAGCAATACGAGCAGTACCTAGAAAATAGAAAGTAATGGCTAACCAATAGACATCTAATATTATTAGTAGCTACTACTTATATAAGAGCGATGAAAAGAATATCAACGATTCTTGGGATGTATGTGAAATACTCGAAACTGAAAAGCTTCAGTAGAAGCATGACTAATATTGATCTAGTCAAAATATCAATTGATACTGATATAAAAATAATTCTCATTCTGCAATTTCATTCGATAGTTATTGATCAAATTACGATGTTTTTTTCGAAAGTAATCATCGTTGAAGAGACTAAATTACGCATTGGATGTCAGTTGGTCAACAAATTCTTTCTTATTAAATATTGTAAATGGTAATAATTATCACAGAATTATTACCAGAAATATAAAAAGTCTTTTTTTTTCAAATAGATCTATGATGGAACAAGTTGTACGTTTCTTCTTTATTTTCAGAATGAATCCTTTTTCTAACAAATTAACCGTGAAGTCAACTTGTGAAAAAATCGATAGACAATTTTTATCTTTAATCAAAACTATCTGTATGTCATTTTACTATGTTATTTAATGACAGTTAGCTAATACTGTTTTCTAGAGACTTTTTGTTATCGACTATCATTGTAGTATAACATTACGATCATTTGACATTTGAAACTATTTTATTATATTACACATAGTACAGTGTTCTCATCGTTCGAGAATCTCGAACATTCATGACGTATCAAATTGTAATACTAATAACTAGAGCGATTTTGTGTTTACAATCATGAATCGGATCTTTATTTTCCGTGATGTTCATTACAAGATAGAATACTAAAAGGGTTTTAATTTGAGTAAGAAAAATTTCTATTCTATAAACAACAAAACTTATCTTAATTCAAACTCACGTGAAAATATGCGCCAACGTTGTTGTCCTTTTGTATGAACACGAACATGCTCTGAGTCATTGTTTCTCCATTGATTTAAAAATGTTAACGTTCCATCTTCTGAATCCGACTCTCCCAGATAAATTCGATAGTCACCAAATAATGCCGTAATAGCTTGTAGATTCCGTTGAAAACCAACTAGATGCTTTCTTACGTTTCGACAGCACGACACAACAACTATGCTCAAATTTAACAAACTAACCTCTTCTAATTTTATTACAGGTACAAGCGGACTGGCATTTATAGTTCGATTATCTTTCCAGAAGGGTACAGTAGAAAATTGAAACGATTTTACAAAACTGTTATAACTGATATAAGTATGAATAATAGAAATTACAAAAAGTACTAATAAAAAACAAATTCCAGCAATAATACACAAAGTCAAACAAACGACATTGACCGTACGTAGACCACGCAGTTTCATCCGAGAAAGATGTCGTCTCGTTGAAAACATGGATAAAATAAGGTTCTTGCATTACAATCTACCTCTCTGGGCTTTTTCTTTCTCTCGTTTTTATTATTCGTCGATTGACGACGATAATAGTTAAAAATATAACCGATACACATCCGAAGTATAAAATAAGTTGTCGATTTTTTTTCCTGTTCTATCAAACTATTTACTTTCTCATAGCCCAAAAAGAATTGATTTTTTTTCTGTGTACTACAACCGATCTATACATGCGTATCATTGCGACAACGTGTGTGGCCGAAGCGTTCAGAAATATTTTTGTATATCATTTGGACCGTACATACCCCATATGACGAGAAAATTTTAAAAAAATGATTTCTCTCATTGTGAACGAATAAAGATTATTAAACAAAGCATTGTGTTTTTTACATTTAATAAAAATAACGTAAAAGAAAAAGGAATACTTATCTATAGTATTGATACTTGATTGTGACTAGGAGTGTTACTTTATCTTTACTTCACCGGGTAAAGTAAAGTAGTGAAAATTCCAAGTTAATTTTTGATTTTTATCTCGCCGTTAGCGCATCGATAACTTCCCAAAAAATAAATCGATACTTAAAATCTTGTCTTTATTGTTACTTTGAGAATAAAACTTGACAAATTTGTAAAACAGATAGTTTGCATGTGCACATAAACTCGAAGTCTATCTAGGTTCTATATGCTAGAGAGAATATGTTTTATCAGTATTTTTGAATAAGACTGAATTGTGGTGGTGAAAAGTCAGTGTTAATGAAACTTACTGTGCATTTTCATTGTTGGCCTTCTTAAGAATAAAATATTATAAAGTAACATCATAGGCATGAGATTTTCTATGACTTTTAAAAGAGAAGCATCTGAAAAGCTCGATCAGTACACTAAATAACTATACATCAAGAAGTTCTTGAATCTCCCTGTGCATTTACTTTAACATATGAATGGGCTTACTGATGTAATACCCGAAGACTGAAGCTAGTACTCGTATACTCAAAATAATGACAACGAACTGATTAACGATAGAAATAAAGCATATGTTGTAAGAAAACTTAAAATCGTTCGTGGATTTTAATTTGCTCTACCCAGGTCGTGCATTACGACGACTAGATACGGCTGTAGATGGTCGTTTAGATAACGTATACGGTCGTATACGCGGAATTTACGACCGTATACTGGCCGTATTTTAACATTTTGGTATGCGCTGTATTACGGTCGTATATCGCCGTGTCGTATACGGCACAACATAACGACCGTCTGAAGGCCGTATCCGAATGTATACGACTGTATCATAAACAGGAAACGAGCAAATACTGCAACGTATATGACCGTTGTAATGATATGAATTATTTTATCGTGATATCAAACCCTTATATTTCAATCATCCTTCTCCTTTTATAGTTATACTTTCTTTCTCCGGAGCGCATCGCTCAATCAGAGAGAACGAGAAAGAACATGATAATGAGGAGAAAGTCGTTATGTACATTGATTAGGATAGAACGAGTGCTTATATTGGCACAACCGTAACAACATCGTAACCGACCGCTTACGGCCGTAATACTTAACAAAACAGAAAAATAAATCCACAAAACCCTCCATTCAGTAGTGAGCCCACAGCAGAAATCAATGTTACTACATTTTCATAGAGATCCCATGGAAAAAAAAGTTCATAAAAAGAACGGATGAGAACGCGTTCTCGAGATAAAAGATTTCGTTGTGACGGCGCTTTTTTCGACCTTTTCAGGCGCGTTCTGATATGCTAAAAGCGTTGTGTTAGAAGAACAGTTCTTGAGTGGAAAATAGCGTTTCAAAAGAGCGCTAAAAGGATTCTCACAAAACGTTCCATAGAAACACCTGTTTCGTGGTAAGAACGCGTTCTTATTTAGAAGAAAAAAAATCATTTTCTATTGTATTTTCAACTCTGTGATGGTCTCGAACGCGTTTCTTTGGTATTCGTATAGGTTCTCAGACTGCTGGTTCTTCCATTCGAATACTTGCATTTGCACTGAACGGGTTCCAATGCGTTTTGCTTTTACTACTGTAGATTCAAGTTTTCTCCTAAAATTTTGCATTTTTAATTAACAAGTTAAAATGGATTGGTCCGCAATTATTTTACACATAGTTAACTATACGATCATATTCACCTGGAAGTATTTTCTCAAGTATACAGGCAGAAGAGAAAAATTCAAACAAAGAATCAAGCATTGTTAGTTAGCTCATGTAATTTATAATCTTCTTCATTTAGTTGTATCAAGAGAAATGGGATTTTCACTCTCACCCCTGCAGGTAATCATCTGTGTTCAAGTATGTTAACAGTATATGCATATTTTTGTAATGATCTCCTAGTCTAGATGATATAAAGTATAAACTCCAGTTGCGCTAAACAAGTAGTCTGTATAGAATCAAAATTGTTTGACAAGTAGGTTAATTCTACATAAATTATGGCAAAGGTTTTAGTTGAAAGCAAAAATTTCTACTTTGTAATATAATAGAGTAGTTAGTCAAATTATGCATCGTAATCTCGAATTACTTCATTCTAAAAGGAAGTTTATTAATTATAATACATTCTTGTTGAATAATAATTACTTTTGTCGACTGTTTGACGATCAAAACTTCAAATGAAAGCACGATATATCAAGTGCCGAGTTATTGTTGATTCAGTTTTAAAGTGAACTTCTGTAGAATATGGAATGCTGAGTTCAATACAACTATTTACAATCTGTACCATACGGATCTGAGCTACGAGAGCTAGGTGGCAAAAAGAGTGCGGAAGACAATAACTTCCGGAATATTGCATTCGATTATCCTCGGAAGAGAATTATGATATTATCAACGGATCAATCATCTCGATATTAACATCCCATGTGAAAATTTCAGTCAAAAAGCTAGCTTAAATTAGCTTAAGTTTTCGCTTAATAAGCGCACATTTTAAGCTGATTAAAACCAAGGTCGAACATTTCTGCCACCGGATTCCGTAGGATACTCCAGGAAATATGCGGGAAATCGCTGGAACATGGAAGCAATATTCCGGTTAAAAATACGGCCGAACTTTTCCGGTAGGAATTGATCGGAAATCACCGGAAAAAATCCGAAAATTTTTCAACCGGAATACTGCTTCCACAAAATCAACGGAACTACCCGGAACCGGTAGTTTCCAGGCCGGACTGTTAGACCTGGGAAGTGCTTAAAATCGAAAGTTTAAGCGCTTTAATGTGCTTGACATTTTTGCACTGAAAACAAATCATGGACTTGCTATCACTGACACCATTATTTACCTTACGTTAGTTGTTTAGACTTTGATGCTATTGCTTATTAATAACTGTCGCTTCTTCGGTTACTCTGATAGAGAGCTAGTTAATTTGATATTTGAACTGTTCGGTTTCTAGAAGATGTTCTATGATTATCTTTATATACCAAATCGTTCTCAAATGAAACTTACTTTACGAAAAATAAAATTCTATTAATAAATTTAAGCAAATATCTTTTGGGTTGAAGAGTTAAATGCTGAGTCTTTGCTCTTTGTAACTTGTGTATTTAATTTCTCGGTCAATTCTTTTAAAAAGTATAGATTTTACTTTAAAAAAACTCGAACATAAAAATTACTGAAACAAATAGCACCTGCTGCATTCATGCAGAGATCTATCCCAGCGTCACTAAATGAATTTCTATAGGAAAATTTTCTTCAAAGTGATGAAATTTAAAAATCCACAGGTAGATTCTAAAGCAAGTACTTCAAAATGCTTAAATAAAAGAAAATCCTCAGTAATTTTAAACACTTTAGATAATAAGCGCCAAATAATATTTAAACTAGGGAAATTCCTCAGCAGTTTTAAGTAATTTCCAGAATCAGCACTTCACAGTACTTGAATATGATAGAATTTCCAGTGCTTTTATGCGATGTAGAGCACAAGCGGTGATAAATGCTTTAAAAATCAATTTCTAAGCAAAATTAAGCGCTTTACTCAGGAAAGCGCCTTGAAACAGGTTAACCTGTACGAATCTAAGTGACTTTAAGTTGCTGATATCACAGTAAGCTAATATAAGTCGCATAGAAATAGCTTACAATGCAAAAAAATGTCACATAGGATATCACGTGTTATATGCACATTTGATGCGACAGCGGTTTTTCTTTACTTTATCTCGATCGTCTTCATGGAACTGAGGTTAAGAAATATTATCGTGAGTACAGCGAGAATGAACTCGTTTTTGACATTGTTGGAGATACCAACTAACAAGTAAGTGACCGCTTTCAAATTTTATTCTCATATTTTTAAATATTTTCAGTATATGTTTGATCAATTTACCAAAAGTATTTTTAAAAAACGAATGTAAACTTTTAAAAGTCATCTAAGACAACGATCCTAATTTTAATGGATAGAGATAGTAGCTATGTATATCATAGAATCATATCAAAAGAGATTTTGATTCTTTCTGATCTGCTTAAAATTTTCTAAAAATGTTCGTCCCATCCCGTCCCATGAGACGTCCCGTGCGGAGCTCTGCAAACATAACTAAAACTAACCAACGTCAATTTCAGTTACAATTAAATCAGTGACATCAAGATGAAACATAGCAAGCATTGCCTTTTCTTATCATGATACGCACATTTTTCGTATGTACACAACAAACGCGAGTATACACAATCCATTCAGCAGCTATCAAAGTTTTCTTTTATAATATCGCCCTTAAATCAGAGTTTATAGACATCCTATACATCAGAAATACAATCCTTCTGTGAGATAAAATCAATGCAAAAGGAAATTGATGCGATCACTAGAACTTCAAAAATATTCGGTGGCGACGAATGACTGAGAGCATACTGAGATAGCAAATATCTATAGCGTTTATAACAAGATAAAACGTTTTGGTCTTGTTTTAATATATACTTTGTTTGGCTTGACAAAAAAAAAGATAAAAATATAGGTGTCTAACACTACTGTTATCATACCTATGATATCTAGCAAAGGCAGAACATTTTAACTATGGGCATGTTCAGAGTAGTCACGTTAATTCTTCTACTTTCTCTTTCATGCAGTAAGTATTCAAATGATAGTCATTTTCATATAATATAATTTTCATGAAAAACTAGGCGATGGAGTACCTCGCTTCGCTAATTATCTGCAAGATCACATGGTACTACAACGAGCTCCACAAAGAGCTGTTATTTGGGGATTTGGAGATGGAACCAAATTAACCACACTTCGACTCAACGATAAAATCTATACAACCGTTAGCCGAAAAGAACGAGCAAATAACTTAGGCGAAAGTATTTGGTCAGTAACACTTGATCCAGTTTCCGATGAAGGCCCGCCGATACTTTGTGACAC